TACTCAGAAGCAGAGGTCAAGGAAGAGCCACATAGAAAGGACACTGGACATTGAAGACAGACCCCGAGAATCAGATGAGGACTTCTGATAAGGGGTGTGATTATGTCAAATAAAGTAAGTGGGGACCGTTAATGAATATATAATCAATGTGTATGATAAAAACTCTGTCCACTTAATGCTCAGGGCACTCAAATGGAGGAAGAGTCCCCCAAGTGACCAGCGTGCTTTCTAATACTCAAAACTGAGTTAGAAAATTTTTGTCCAGCCATTTTCATTAGCAAACATACTAAGGAATTGGAAGTGCTTGGTGTTCCCAAGGATTTTGTAAATACTTGTTTTTCTGGTCTTCAGAATATTTATTTGCATCCAGTAATAGAGTTAAAAGTTAAATTCTAAATTACATGGTGTTATGGTGATGCAAGTTACCAAAAATATAGTCTGCTTTAAAACTAGAGTTATTAAAGCTTTTAAACTGAGTATATTGCTCAGAGTATAGATTTCTTCTTTATTCCTGCTCTTTTGATTGGCAAAGAATCTCAAGGGTTTGAGAAACTATAAATTCCACTTTAATACAGAAAAGATGACCAGTAACTTAGTGAGACAAAATTCATGGCTAGTATTAGGTTCCTATTTTTTTAAAGTAGACATGGAATGCTATCTAATGCCAAAATCTGTTTTTGTTTTTTTAAATATTTGGCATAAAACAATGCTTTTATGAATTATGTGGAATTTATTCAAGAATATTTTAGCTAAGTGTTTGTCCTTGAGAAGATACCAAGAGTATTTTTATCAAAAAGATGAATGCATTGCTCACAACAACTACAAATTTAGTAAATATATGTATAAAACTAAAATGCTTATTTACAGCCTTGGATTGTGATAGATCTACTACCTAAACAATTTAGCTAGCAATAGTACTTACAGATATATTAAACAATGTCTAGTGGTGGAAATTCAAGTGAAGTTACAACAGTAAGCAGAATTAAGAGACCAACTTAACGAGGTCAAACAAGCCCAGGTGCCATGTCTTTCACTTGGGGCACAACAACAACCCCATGTAACACCACAGGCTGGGGGAAATGTGCCTGGAAATCTTCCTGGTGGAAAAGGGACCTGGGGGTGCTTGTGACAGCAGCTGAACATGAGCCAGCTGTGCCCAGGTGACCAAGAAGTCCAATGGCATCATGGCCTGTACCAGCAATGGTGTGGCCAGCAGAGCCAGGGCTGGGATTGTCCCCCTGCATTCAGCACTGGTGAGGCTACACCTCAAATCCTGTGCCCAGTTCTGGGCCTGTCACTCACTATGGGACAGACACTGAGGTGCTGGAGCATGTTCAGAGAAAGGCAATGAGGCTTGTAAAGGATCTGGAGCACAAATTTTATGGGAAGCAGCTGAGGAAGCTGGGGTTGTTAAACTTGGAGAAAAAGAGGCTCAGGGGAGACTTTATCACCATCTGTGATTATCTGAAAGGAGGTTGTAGCAAGGCGGGAATTGGCCCCTTCCCCCAGGCAGCTCGTGACAGGACAAGGGGAAATGGCCTTAAGTTGTACCAGTGGAGGTTCAAGTTAGACATCAGAAAGAATTTCTACCTGAAAGAGTTATCAAGCTTTGGAATGAGCTGCCCAGAGAGGTGGTGGAGTCACCATCCCTGGAATTATTCAAGAAATGACTGGAATGGCACTTAGGGCTATGATTTTGTTGTCATGGTGGTGTTTGGTCAAAGGTTGGACTCAGTGATCTTGGAGGTCTTTTTCCAGCCTTAATGATTCTACGATTCTACATCAAGAAGCAAGAAAAGGAAATTATTCATATTGAATTACTTTGAAGCTTTGTGAGAAAAGCTTGGAAGATCAGTACTGGGTTAAGACTATCAACAGAAAAATGCTGAAAAGCTAATAAAGCTGTAGCTGCTAAGGAGGAGGAAGATTAGTAGGCTTAAGAATTGCATACTTAGTGACTGTAACTGTCCATAGGTCACACCCACTCAATTTTTTATTCAAATACGGATACTCTAGCCAAGAAGCTAAAAACCTGAGCAGTTTTGAGTAAGTTTGTAAGGGTTGTCTTTGAAAGAGGGATGAGAAAATGTGCATGAAACTTTCTACAATTCTACAAAAGCAAATGAAAGACTGTGAGGCTTTTCCATGTGAGGGAACAGAGTGCATCAAAGCTATTAAGTTGCACGTAATCTCATGGTTTATACTGATGCTGTGCTTACAAATACCAGCCATTTTACAGCATGATGCTTTGTGTTTTGATTCAGATCTGAATTAACTGTTATCTGACAGTAACCTAAGAAAACAGAAACTTTATTTTTGTCAGGAAAAGGACTGACATAGAAGAGTGGCTTTCACACCCTGAGATATTTACTCAGTGCCTATTGGAACCTGTCTGCTCATTAAGGGATGATAGATGGATCACTTGCATTCTAATCCAAAGTTCAGTGAAGTTAATAATAAGTTTCTAATGTATCTTTTAAGTCTGAGAATTAGGACTGTCAGAAGTGGAATGCTTGTTTATTAATAACAAAAAAAGCCCTTTTGCTCCTAATTAGGTTCTTATACACATTATTAATTATTGGTATGAAATTATTCTGCATATCATTATTATCATTATTTAGTGTTATTAGCATAATTTCCATGAGGAGCACCATTCTTTGTGTTTTAAATATTATATAATACATTTGAGAAGATCAAGGTTTTGGAAGGTGATTATTTTTTCTTTGGAATTACATTTTCAGGTGTCACTGTTAGTGGTTCCAAAATTTTTAAATTCTTATAAAGCAATAGCACAGAGCTGGTTTTCTGTGGGTTGTTTTGTTTTGTTTTCTTTCTTTTTCTTAGTTTTTCTAACTTTTAGCTGTTATAAGAAATATTAGGTGTCTGTAAAGGAAGCCATGATGTCTGTTTTCTGACAGAAGGTCCATAATTTTGCAGCTTTACGAGAAAGAGAGCTTTATAAATAGGCCATGCTGAAGGGATTTAGCAAAAAGTATCTGACATTAATTATTTAGAGGAATAAATTAATGTATTTCTGCTACCTGACTAGTTCTGTCCTTAATATTTGTGTAAAGATAGTTATTGATCAGAGGAATGAGCAAGTAAAAAAAAAGTAAGGGAGAAGATAACCTAATTTGTGAATCTGTTATCTTTCCTTATTTTTAAAATAAAAGGGTGTTGGTTTTGATGCAAAAGACTATGCATGTATGTAGTGGTTTAGATTCACCAATTTGAATTTTCCGGCCAATGCACCACATAATGTGGTGGGTTTAGCGCTGGCTAAAATCACCACTGCACTTACTCATTTCTTGCTGTGAGATATGGATTAGTAGAAGTGCAAAACAGGCTTAAAACCTAAAATGTATAAAGAAACTTTATTAACAGAACTACAAGAATAAGAAGCATCAGAATAAAACTTCCAGAACACCTTTCCTTCCTCTGCCCAACTTTTCCTTTCCCAACTGACCACATAGAGACAAAACCTGGGATGGTAAAGCAGTACCAACTGTACAACAGTCTTTCATCAGTTCTTGTAGGGAGAACTGTTCTTATGCTATGGAGACTTCTCCACAAGAAATAGTTTTCTTGTGGCTTTTCATTTCCATGAATAGCAGCCGCCCAGGAAAAAAGTTCTGCAATTGTGAAATCCCTCTCATTTTCACAGTCCTCCTGGAGGTGTGTCCACGGACCATGAACTCAAGGATTATTTTAAGGATAAGTTGTTCAAAGGCAAAGGTTCTCTTCATCTGTCTTTGTGATCATCTCTGGGAAAAGAGGATTTCTTCTTCTCTCCCTGGGGGCAAAGGGTCTTCATCACTCTCATACTTCTCTCTTACTGTTCAAGCTTCTCATGGGATCACAGTTACTCCAGCATCTGCTTGGCTTCATTAATGGATGCCTCTGCTCCAAACATCTAGTTTGAATACTTCATCCTCCCACACTTTCTCATGAATTGTTATAAATGCAACGGCAAATTAAAGATTAACAAAGATTAATTTATTATAAATTAATAAAGCAACAAACAGTGAGGAAAAAAACCACAATAAATGGACAGCGCAGCGCTGGGTGGACAGGGTCTATACGCAAGGTATAGGTGTTCCCAAATCCACGTCTGAGGGTTCTCTGGCCTGGGTTTTTATAGGGATTTTATGTCCCCAGGCTAGAATTCCAACCAGTTTCCATTCACCAAATGTCCCTGATTGTCTGGTGAATGGATTTCCTGGCCTAGAACATTGAGTCAGTAAGTATCCGGGCAGAGTCTCCTCAAATGCAAAGTGAGTCTGTATGTATTTTAACATATTTCTTCACAGCAGGATTGAGAGATCCGGGCTAGCGCCGATGGATATCTCGGAGGAGTAGTCCCTTCTTTGTCTTTCTTGATTGAGTTTCTGTAGTATGGGTTTGGCGGGTGTGGTGTTCGATTCTGGCAACGACCATCTTCCTGGGGCTCGTCCCTTTTGTTTTGCTTGATGGTCTCCGGCCGAAATCGGCCGGGCGTTGCCTTTCTCTGGAGGTAGACTTTTAGGCTGGTTCTTTTGTTTCTATGATGGCCTGTGTCCTGTCTTTTCCTCCGAGTTGATGAGTCTGCTGAAACCTGTTATCTGGGGGGGGTTCTTTTGCAATTCGTGATTTTTGGAAAAGGAATTCTATCTCGACCGGGAGGAGAATTCCTTATTCCATACTTACATTTAGTTATAATTATACATACTTTATTTAAACTTCTTATTCCGAATTTTTATTTACTCAATTCTTTATTACATGAATTAATGGAGATATTTCAGTGTATCATTGTCCATCTCCATGGCCCTGCCAAAAGAATTTTCAGCCTCATTTGGCATCTCCTCATTCTCCTTCCATCTGAGGCTTGACTCTACTGACCTTGGTATTTTCATGTTGTCTTTCTACATGCCATCACTCTGTCCTTTTCTCTCCCTGGAGAGAGGATAGAGGTCTGCAGGTCTCATTTGTGTAGTGAAAGGGTTAAATCTGGCCCAGTGGCCATGGCAGTCCCGGTGCTGGATTTCAGGCCGCACTGGGTGCCTCCCTCCACCCGGCAGCTGCTGGGAGCTGGGGCTCAGCCTGGAGGCTCGGTGCAGGCCAGGGGGNTGGGAATGTTGAGAGTGAGATTAAAAATGTAGCCCTGGAAACAATGTTCAAGATGAGTGCTTCATGTTACCATAATGTATAGATTTGATACCATGATTTTGTGAATAATTGTCTGAGCCTGAGCTTTGAAAGGTGCAGTAACAAGGGAGAGGAGGAAGTGTGGTGGTGCAGGGAAAGAACTGTTGCCAGCCATGCAGTCCAGAGCCAAAGGCACTCAAGAAGAAAGGTGCACAGTGTTCCTCTTACTTTGATGCTCTCTCTGTGCAGGGCACATATACTATACATGTGCATGTGGAACTTGCAGGTGAGAATTCTTTACAAACTCAGATTGCTGAGATTGCATTCTGAGGCTTGATGACAAATAAATCATTTGAATACCTTTATTAAGAGAATTTAATTCTATCATATATGAAACCATGTGGAGTGGAGGATTTCTGTTCTAGAGTGCACTCTAGTGGTATTTCACATATTTTCAGTTACTGCTCTGGGTTGTGCGTAACTGCATTTCACAATTGAAGAATCATAGATTATCCTTACCTGGAAAGGACCCACAAGGATCATCGAAGTCCAACTCTTGGCCCTGCTCCATCTGTAGGAGTCACACCATGTACCTGAGAGCATCGGGTAAACACTTCTTGAACTCTCTCAGGCTGGTGCTGGGACCACTTCCCTGGGGACCCTGTTCCAGTGTTCAACCACTTTCTTGGGAAAGGACCTTTTCCCAGTGTCAGCCTCCCTCATAACCCTTCATGCTGTTTACTTGAGTCCTGTCACTGATTAGCAGAGAGAAGAGATCAGACTCTGCCCCTTTGCTTCCTCTTGCAAGAAATATGAAGACTACTGTGAGGACTCCTCTCAGTACCTTTACTAGTTGTTTTTTTTCCTTAATGTCTGAAGCAGTGCAATTCAATAAGACAGTGTGCCAGATCCCACACTTGGGTCACAACAAGCCAAGCAGTGCTACAGGCTGGGGATAGAGTGGCTGGAAAGCTGTCCAGCAGATAAGGACGTGGAGGTGCTGGGTAACAAGCAGCTGAATATAAGCCAGTATGTGCCCAGGTGGTCAAGAAGACCAAGGGCATCCTGGCCTGTATCAGCAATTGTGTGACCAGTAGGACCAAGGCAGTGACTGTTCCCCTGTCCTTGGCACTGGTGGGGCCGCACCTTGAATCCTGTGCTCCGTTTTGGGCTGCTCACTGCAAGAAAGACTGAGGTATTGGTCTTTTATCCAAGTAAAAAGTGCCAGGAGTAAATGGCCTCAGATTGCTCCTGAGGAGGCTTAGGTGGGATATTAGGAATTTTTTTTCACCAAAATCATTGTCAAATATTGGAGCAGGCTGCCCAGTGGATGAGTTACCATCCCTGGAGCTGTTTAAGACTTGCAGATGTGGCATTTAAGTTCACCACTAAACCATGTCTCTGGCAGTGCTAGGTTTATGGTTGGAGTTGGTGATCTGAAGGGTCTTTTCTAACCTAGATGTTTCTATGATTCTATGAAAAACAAATATGCCTTGTCTGCTCTAATGTTCTATGTAGCTCTTTTTAAATTTTTTTCCCCACCCAGCACTTAGGTTATTTTTGTAAAGAACCATTCATGTTTATTGTTCTCTGAAGTTGCTCTGTTGTAGTTCTTTGAGTCCTCCCTGCCCTTTGAGGGACTAGGTTTTGTCTTTTATGATTTTTCATATAATGTACAATTTCTGACCATCTTTTGGTCTGTGAAGTTGAATGATTGAACCTCTTCAGTGTGTTTCCTGGTGTGTTTTCTCTAGTTAGATGCAAGTGCAGTAGCTGCTGCTTCTACCTATTTTAGGTCTCCTTTCTCCCCATGCTTATTATTTTAGTAATGTGGTAACCTTTATTAATTTGCACTTAAACTGAATTTCCCTAAGTCGTAAAACTTGGATGAAGCATATATGCATGCAATAGCATGACCAATAAATACAAGAAAAAAAATTGTATCTCCTGTTTCAGGCTGTACTGTCCCCTGTGCTTTCAGCACCACATTTATCTCAAAACGTGTGTCCTGTTTTGGATCTTCATTCATTTGCTGAGTCAGGTAATAAAATCTATTTTAAAGTCTTGCTTAAGAAGCGGGTCAAGTCAAGAAGTTTTTGAGTTCTTTGAATAAATTTATTATTCTTGCTGTAAGGAAGGATATGGGGCTTTATTTCAAGTTCTTGAGGGCCAAGTAGTGTTGTATTCTGTTTAGTTTATAACTGATACTGTACAAACTACTTGAGTATTTTTTCATAGCAGTAAAATTCTGTATGCTTGTTTTTGTTGTTCTCTTCCTGAGGGTATAGTAGGAAAATTTTGTTTGGTATGGTGAGTTTATTTTTGTCAGGGCATATGTCACTGCAAATCTCTATTCAGGGCATCTGAAGTAGTATGACATTTTTAGCTTTAGCATGTGCTTATTCCTCTGATGACGGTTTTAATTATTTTCTTATAGTGAAGGATTTCGCTCCTATTTAGGTGTGCTTATTTAAATTATGAGGTAGTGAAATGATGTCCATTAGAAACTGCTGTGTTTTCATAAACATTTTGACTTCTACTGGATAAAGCAGAAGATTGGCTTTGGGAGAATCACTTGTGTTCAGTACTACCTTGTTGTTCAAAACAGCTTATCTAGATCCTAACATTTATCTAGTAGTTACATTAGAAAAATAATAATATATATAATATGTTATTTCAGTGTCAGTCAAAACACTCAACTGGAGAAACAGAGAACCAGACTACTACTTCTTTCTCAAACTAATGGTTTGTGTGGTTAGCAAACACTAGCAAAATTATCAGCAAAGTTATTATGTCTGCTTTATAGCTTTAAATTCAGCATGTAATATATATGTAAAAATATGTGTTTGTGCATCTTCATATTTTTTGTATGAGGTTTTTATATGAGTTCCTTTAAGTCTGAAGGTAGAGTGGAAATATCTTTCAGTTCTTAAAAATTGGGCTGAAGTGAGAATGCAGGCTGGCAGCAAGTAATTTGAGAAAGTAATAGTTAGATTTAGATTTTAATCAAGTCTGACTTCTAATCTATACTATAAATACAGCTATACAGTCCTTTTAAGTGACATATGTTAATTCTCGATTTTCACCCTCCAAGAACTCAGGGCTGCTTTTAAGTGTTACAAAATACTTCATGTAATTCTTTGAGTTTTTTAAGAGGGCTATTTTATTCTTCTGCAGTTACCGTATACTTCAGTGTCTTTGGTTTTTTAGGTGAAGGAGAAGACCTTCATAAGACAGTACAATCTATTTATCTTGGCTATATTTCTGCGCTGATGTAAAGTAGAGTGAAAGCTTGATAGTTCTTAGGAGTCTCTCTGAAATGGGAGATCTACAGCAGGGAGAAATCCCTAATAGTGTGCCTAATAGAGAGGCCATGGCTCCTGTACTTGTCAACAGCAGTCTGACCAGTAGATGAGTTAAGCTGTTAGGTCACACCAAAGGCAAGACAAAGCGTCATTTGTGCTGTCATTTGCAAAGCCAAAAGTAAGAGAATGCTAAAGGAAAGAATTATCTGATGAGATCTGAGGTTTATGGTGACATGATGGAGGCAGATGTAGGCGTGATGTAAAGTGGAGGCAAGAGTTGAGACGACTGTGGGAACAGATTTTATCACTTGTTAGTTGTCAGCTAGATACTTGTATGTTTAAGCTTTTATAGATGTAGATGTAAGAACTCTAGGTCATAATACTGTAAAATATTGACTGTGTAAACTGCATATGTAATGTAGTTGTGAATTAATCCTTAGAATCAGAAGAAGAATTTTATGATGCACTAAGCAGTCCTGTGGAAGATGTGCCATTTTTTGAAGTCCCATCTGGTTCCCTCAAGCAGGCCATCAGTACAAGGCGAAAAACCCTACGCAAACAAGAATCTTTGAAAAATATGACAGATTTCCAGCTAAAGTTTGAAGTAGCCGAGGTAAAATTACTTTTTTGTATTTCCCCGAAGCACAGCAAGACTGTAATTTTTTCAGTGTTTGTTGTGTTTACAACTCTATATCTCCAGAGATACTCATTCCCCCTTTTTGCCTGAAACTATTATGCAGAGTTTTCTCCAAGTCATAGTGTTGCTTCTGTATCCTTGTCATCACTGAAATGCTTTGAGTTATCCCCTTGATTTCTCAACTCACTTTGTCACTTAATTTTCTTTACCTATGTCATTACATATTTGTTTCAGCTAAATATGTGCTTGTGGCATCTTTTTTCCAGATACTGCTTTGGTCAATTGGAAAACTTCATTAATGTTTTATGTTGTTACAAGCACCATATTTTTCTATTCTAGTTTTTCCCAGATGCTGTTACCCACATGTGTAAATCCGTAATATCTTGCTGTTCTTGCTGTTTCATGCTTGTGGGGGGTAAAAGAGTATTTTATCCAAATGCAAGAACACTTGTTAACTGTATCAGTTCTAGTAAAAGAGGTGACCTCTTAACACTATCGTTAGCTTTGTCATTAGACCATCATGGCTATGATAATGTTATTCCTGCAACTCAGTGTATTTTACTTTACATTTATTTTAAAAATAAATGATACAAATTCAGATAACTTTACTAATTGTGTTTTGTGGTAGGGCTTACAGAATGTCTTCAACACTCCAAAGCTAGCTTGTAGCATACTGTATACTACACCTTTACTGCAAATAAAACTGAAGTGTACTGTTTGTGTGATGACAAGACCTCATTTAGAACTACTAGTCTAAAGCAAGAATGCTGTGTTTTACATTATTTTCTAATGACAACTAACTTAAAATTTCTAAGAAAAAAATAAATTTGGAATCTATTAGAAATCACCTCTCTTCTCATAGTTTAATATTACTTATTGGGCTTTGTTTTGATTTTCCTTATTTGTGGACAGCATTACAGGGAAAGGGAGAATACATGTATTTGTTTGGTTGTCAAAATCAGATACAACAGCTCACCTATGTATTTATTTAACAACAGTATTGTCATGCATTGTGAAAATGTAGTAAATCCTCTTGCAAGACATTCAGCTTGGGAATTTGACTCTTAGGAAGAGAATTCAGAGAAATTCCAGTGAAAATAGTAAACACTTTGTGTTGACTGAAAATCTAGTTTTGACTGTATGGAACATTGCTGAGTGCTGTATGGATTTTTTTTAAAAAAATAATTTAGTTTGTGTAACTGTTATTTTGGTTACTTTGGTAATACATACATGTTTGAAATTTCAAGCATGCATGTTTGAAGTTTTTGTTATTTTTTCCAATGCATTTGCTGTACAAAGTTAAATTATCAATACACAAATAGACATTAACCAATAAAATAAGTAAATATATTATATTCTGTATAAAAATGAAAAGGTTTTTATACTTATTATAATCCCTTACTGGTTTTGGGGATGTGTTTTGGTTCTTTTTTTTTTTTTTTAGGTCTTAATTAAATTATGCCGTCTTACTGGTGATACTGAGATGCCTGTGCTCCAGCTTGATATTTTGGGCTTAGGCACTGAAATTAAGATAAGAACATTTGACATGACTGGGAATGCCTTCCTTCATGAAGTTGGTCTTCTGTGCCCAGAGTATATTGGTAAGTATTTATAATCTGGTCAAGGAATTAATTATTCACTAATAATACTGTGAATTTGTCTTCAAAAACTGTAGGGCTTTTGTCAAATGGGGAAAATTTGCTTCCTAAGGTAAGTTCAGGGTGAAGGCAAGTAAATCAGGAGCCCATCTTCTTATTAGTGCTTTGGTAAATATATTCTGGTGCTGATGATTGTAGAGAGAGGTTTAACTGTTTTGTGTCTGCGAAACAGTAATGACAGCTAGGAGCCTAGTTGGCAGTTTATAGATTAAGAAAGTTCTAAATCTTTTTTTCTTTAAAAAAAAAAAATCTGTATTCTTTTTTCTTTTTTCTTTTTTTTTTTTAGATGATAATGACAAGCCAGTTTACATAATTACTACATTGGATAATGTAGAAGATGATCTTCTCACCCTGGAGTATATAAAGGTTAGGAAAATGCAGTAGATGTTTAAGGTTTTTTCCTTACTTATTGATGTTTTTAATATCTTGAGTGTCATGTCTGCTGCTCCTTCAACAGAATAACTTTTACATCTTAAGTTGTAGTGATTTTGAAAATAAGTTTTCTTTAATGGAATTTACAAACTTCTGATTTGTTTGTTTTATGTGCACTTTTGGTGAAATAGACTGATATTAAGGGACCAGAACTGAAAACTGCCTGTCAGAATATTCTACAGAAAATAAAGGTATGATATCTTTTTTTTTTAATATAATTTTTGTGAGTTTGGGAGAAGATGAATACTGGATAAACAAAATTTTTTCTTTTAGGTGAACTTTTCTTCTCTAGATGTTCATTTGCATACTGAGGCTCTGCTGAATGCTATTAACTATCTGAATAATCTTCTACCTAAACAAGGAACTAAAGTTGTGGAAGAACCAGTCCATGAAAAAACAGAGGAGAAGAAGGATGTTCTTAAAAAATTAAGTAAGTTTCTTTATTATTTTTTCCTCTTTTCATTACTCTGTCTTCACTTAAGTAAGGAATAAAACAAATGTATTTTCTATTTTTGCAAACCTGTCAGTGATGTTTGATAGAAATTTTGCTTAGAATAATACATATCTATACGGTTGTATCCTTAGCCATATGTAGTTTTCTGACATTTAGGTCAGGGCATACCTTTGCTATGTATTGGAGGCACTAAGTCAATGTAAAAAGAAAAGCCATATCTTGTTGTCAGGTTTTTATAGTTTTTTTCCTGGTATGAATTAAGCATTTGATGGCCTTATAGTCATTACTTTATACTTGAGGAGCATTAACCTCTTGCTTGCTGTGCAGTTCAAAGGGATACCAAAATATTACATGTCCTCATTGAAGAATGCTAACATCTGTTATTTTTTATTTCCCATAGCATCAAAAAAATCAAAGTGTGAAGATGTTATTGACCTCATTATCTGTGCAGATTTATCGTGTTTGCGTATTTTTATCAGAGAGAAAAGCCATAGAATAGCTGAAATTCACATTGAAGGTAGGAACAAACCTTTAATCACAAAGACACAAAACTTTGTAACCATATTCGTGTATAGATTTTGTATATCTTTTTTTTTTGAGGTCTCGATAGCCAAGTGATCATGAAGAAAGCAGCAACTGATGTGACTGCAAAATTGAAGAACATCATTATTGTGGATTCTGATGAGACAGCATTGTATAAAAAGGTAAGCACATGCATGTATTTTTTTAATGGATGCTAAATTAAACTTATTTTTTAGACTCTACTCTCTACTGTGACTTTTTTCAGTCATGTTTTATGTATTTGTTGGGAGTTGGATTCTCTATATAACAGATTGCTTTTGCTCCCACAACCAATAATTATTAGACTGACATTAATTTGTGCAACTGTGATATTCAGCTGCTCATTGTGCCTCTTACTGTGTTGACTTTAGTGAAGAGAATTATTGAAGCTGAGATGTCAACTGAGTATTTTCAGCAATTTCAATGGATTTTTAAAATACAGTATTTTTCTTCATATATTATTGAGATACTTGAAGTAAAAATGTGTTAGTGGTGTGAGGTATATTTTGTTTTGAAGTGAAGTTTCTCCAGTATGTAAGTTTTTACAGTAGAGATACTATTTTTTTTCTTCTTAAGGCTCTTTACATCACAGGAAAAGAAGTCTTCAACTTCAGAATGGTATCATATCTGAATGCTACAGATGGCATTGCATATACAAATATGGATGTTGTTGACAATCGTATTTACCTAACTGTTGGGTGTATTCAAGTAGTTTTTGTCAACAAGTTTGTTTCATCTATTTTGGTAAGTTAAATTTTCCAAATACTGTTTCTTAGCATCCAGGTGAAGTTGTCTGAGTAAGAACAGGATAAGAGTGTTCCATATGGGCTGGCATCTGTTTGTGTAAGAGCTCTTATATACTGTTGTAAAAACTTTACTGGGGTTGATGGTTGGGCTGTTTATTTTTCTTCTACATATGTTTGTTACTGTGGAGCAAATGAGTAAGCAAAAAGGTTTACTATTGTTAATAGTAATGTTTTTCTTAGATGATTTGTGACAGCTGTTAAACATTCATAGCATTAACTATTCATTACACTGAAATATAAGTAAGGAACCATAAAAATTAATGCCCTTTCCATAGATTCTGCTAAGTAAATCAAACTTTTTCTGCTCATATGATTAAATAAAATGGAATTCCTACAAGTCATGTTTCAAGGTCATTGCTCTTACCATCTAATTTTCAAAATATTTAGTATAGAAATTTATTTATATATATGAGTAATTTATCATAGTTGAGGGAAGATTATCTTAACAAATAATTTGGACAAAATGTATAGCAAAAATAACATTTTAGGATGGTTTGCTGTTTAAATAACTATGATTCATAGTGTTTTTGAAGTACTGTAATTTTTAATTATTAATTCCTGAGATCTGTATTTCTTTCTTAGGCTTTTATAAATAACTTTCAAGCTGCCAAGGAAGCTCTTACTGAAGCAACTGTTCGAACAGCAGAGAAAGCAGCTACAGGTGTAAAAGAGTTAGCAGAGCGTAGTTCCCGTTTGGCACTAGATATCAATATCAAAGCACCTGTTGTGATAATTCCACAGTCAGCAATGTCTGCAAATGTCCTGGTGGCTGATCTTGGTTTAATCACAGTGAAGAACCGATTCTTTATTGCTAAAACAAAAGCACGGTGTACTCTCCCACCTGTTATTGACTCTATGACAGTGAAATTGAGTGAACTGAAGTTATACAGGTAATGTACTGTCAATATTTTAAAAATTAATTTAATCCTTTTGGAATTCTTCAGTGAGCTTCAAGGAATAATTAAATGATTAGCTAATTGCTGGTGATTGACAGACTGTTATCTTGGAATATAACAGTAAACTAACATTTTTTTAAAGCAATGAAAATGTATGGTTCAGGAAAAAGAGCAATCTGCACATCTTTAAATAGAAGCAAATGTTTGTTCTGGGCAAATTGTGTAGTACTATAGATTTATGCATTATTCATTACTTTGGGACAGGCTATACCTATTTGTATTGGACTGTTTTGATGTGATTTTCATGCTAGGCATAGCAGCAAAGGTACTGAGTTAAATAGCTATAAAGAACTGTTTGAAAATGGTCCTTGGTGGAGGGGGTTCATGGAAGGAGAGGGAATGGAAGGGGCTTTTCAAACATAGTTGAAGTATACTTAAGAAAGAAGCAGTTGCTCTTTCTCTCCACTGGAGAGTAGGTAAGAGATCTGACATGCAGGAGTTTGTGTGTTGTGTTTCTGATACATGCCTAATACCTTCTCCCTACAAAGGAAGGGAGAAGGTGGAGTGGAGTGGAAGCTTGGGTGGAGTAAGGCTTCAACTAGAGCTATTTGGAATAGTATAAAGACACTTCTATAGCATTAGTTAAAAAGATGAGGAAAATACAGAAATGTGGTTTTTTTAGAATGTGAAATATGTGAAAACTGGAAGTATTTTGCTTCTCTTCACAGATCTTACTATGAGCAAGATTCTTTGCAAACTGAAGTACAGTTGCTGCAGCCAGTCAATCTGGAAGTAGCTGTTGAACGAAATTTAGCTGCTGCATGGTATAATGAAGTTCCTGATATTGAAATATCTGGCCGACTCAAGCCTATGAATGTAAGCACTTGTTTCTGAAAGCAACTGTTCAAATAGTTTTGGAAAACAGATTAATTTTTCTCTATAAAATTCCAAGCTTAGTAGTTAAGGTATTGTTTGATTTCAAGACAGAGGTAGAACAGATTTTGTTGTTTCATAGGGTAAAAGGAAATGAATAGATTTTTGTTCTAATTTAAACTCAGTATTTAATTTGTGATACTCCAGGAGACTTTGTACTATGAGTTACTGTTGCTCGTTAAAAATGCTTATTCTATCTGGCCTTTTACCTGTCAGTGAAGGATTGAAAAAGTTGGGATTTATTGGTTTGTTCAACAGCACTGCTGAATTTCTACCTATGACAAGTCTGAATAGTTACTAATGACCTGCTGTGCCACATAGATATTCACAGACCTATGGGGCCAGATGGGATTCATCCTAGGGTGATTTAAATTTGAAAAAAATTAAATAAATAATGTAGATTAAAATTTAAACATAAAATAATTTAAATTTAACATTAAAAATAGAAAGGTTGTGAAGAGTGTGAGGAAAACCAATTTGTGAGATTTTGAAATAGAACTCTTAAGTATTACTGTAAAGTAACTGTTACTGTAAAGTGGCTTGTGACTAAATGCAGATAAAGATTTTGATTGGTCAAACTGTGTGTTCATATTCTGACATTCCAGTTTCTAAACAGTAACTTGGTAGGGAAAGTTTGTGATGAAAACAAAATGATGTGTGACTTCTGATTTCTAGAAATTACTGTAAGGAGTTGTGTGAATTTGAGAAAAATGTTCAGCGTCGTAAATAGAGTCTCAGATGAGATTAATTTGATTTATCTGTTTATTTGTAAGCTTAGATTTTGGTTAACAGAAGTTATGCAAACAGAGTTGTTCTGATTTCCATTCCAATGTTTTTTAAAGCTAATTCTCAGTCAGGAAGATATTACCACAATACTGAGGACACTAAATGAAAATGCAGGTGAAAGCTCTGGTGCATCAACAGCTTTGCCAGAATCAAAAGCACCAACTAGTCATTCTAGTGAAACGCATGGTACTTCTCAGCAGTCTGCAGGTAATGTTTTCTAAAATTACATCATCTGGCATTTTTAGGTATTATTGTCACTATATGGCTTCTGTTGGAGTTGCATTTACGAATGGATGCCAGATTCATTTGTGTATACCAATACTGTAGAATCACAGAATAATTAAGGTTGCAAAAGACTTCCAAGATCATCAAATGCAATGTTTGACCAAACACCATGTCAACTAAACCATAGCACTAAGTGCCATGTCCAGGTCTTCTTGAATGCTTCCAGGGATGGTGACTCTACCACCTTCTTGAGCAGAAACTCTTCCTGATGTCCAGCCTGAACCTCCCCTCCTGTTTCAGCTTGAGACTTTATCACCTTACCCTGTCACTCACTAGCTGTCTGTGAAAAGAGACCCGCCCCCATCTTGCTGCAACTTCCTTTCAATCTGTCTTTCACAAGATGAGTCATCTGGTCAAAAAAAGGAGATCAGATTGGTTAGGCATGACCTGTCTTTCCTAAACCCATTCTGAAACCATTCTGGCTGGACCCGATCCCTTAGTTGTCCAGTTTGTGCCATATGGTTACACTCAAGATGATCTGCTCCATAACCTTCCCCAGCACTGGGGCCAGGCTGACAGGTGTGTAGTTCCCTGGATCTTTCTTTCGTAGATGGGTATCCCATTGGCCAACCTCCACTCATCTGGGACCTCTACAGTTAACCAGGACTGATGATAAATAATGGAGAGTGACTTGGTGAGCTCCTCTGCCATCTCTGTCATCATCCTAGGTTGAATCCTGTCTGGCTCCATAGACTTAAAAGCATCAAAGTGACACAGCAGTCACTAATTACTTCCTCAGGGATTGCAGCACCTCTCTTCTACTCTCTGACCCTGTCTACCGGCTCAGGTGGCCAGTTGCCCATTTTCACTCTTAATGACTGAGGTAAAGAAGGCATGAAGTACCTCAGCCTTTTCTTCATCCTCGGTGGGAGGGTATCCCTCCACATCCAATAAAGAGTGGAGATTATTCCTTTGCCTGCTCTTTGTTGTTAATGTATTTATATAAACATTTTTATTTTACTTCACAGCTGATCGAGTGGCCAGGTTGAGTTCTATCTGAGTTTTAACCTTGCTAATTGTAGTTGGTTTAGTGCTGGCTAAATGCACTTACTAGAATAATTTACTCATTTTTTTGCTGTGAGATAAGATTTAGGAGGTCAGTAAAGAAAGCTCAAAACTTGAAAGTTTATCAACAGAACTAAAAGAATAATAAGAATCAGAATAAAACCTTAAGAACACTTAACTCACAACCTTCTCTTTTTTTCTTACTGATAATGTAAATGGACAAAACTTGGGACTTCCAGTTAGTTTACAACTTCTAGAATAGTTTTTCATCAATTTTCTTAGGGAGAAGAGTTTTACTTACAGCGAAGTCTCCACAGCATAGCAAGAAAAAGTTTTCTCGTGGCTTCAGTGTCACAGCAAATCAGCCACCTGGGAAAGGAAAATCTGTTTGCAGTGTTAAAATCCCTCCCCTTGATTTTGAGCTTTCACTACAACTGTTTTTGAGGGCTCTATTTTTTGCTAGTGGGTTACTCGTCTGAGGATGAGCTGTACAAAAGCAAAGGTTCTTTTCATTTATTTTTGAAATCATCTTTATCTCTGGGAACAGAGGTCTTCTTCTTCCCTGGGGGCAAAGTGTCTTTATCACTTTTATTTCTGTTAAAACTTCTAATTTGGTTCATAGCAACATGAACATCTGATTTGCTTTAGCATGGATACCTTTGCTCATGTCTATAGTTTGAACACTCTATCTCCCTATGTTTTTTTTCATGAATTACAGGGATATTCTAGTGTATCATAATCTATCAACATGGCCTTACAAAAAGAATTTTAAGATGAAGGCATGTCCTCATTCTCCTCCTATTTGGAACTTGACTCCTTTGTTTATTGACTTTGGTGTCTTCCTGTTGTTTCTTTATGTTTCTTCTCCTCTTCCTTTTTTCTCAAGAGACGATTTGCATTTGCATTTTCAACTTTCATGCCTGCGGATGGTGGTCATGATTGATCCCTCCGGGCGACAGCCGGAGCATTCGCGGTGATGTATTTCAGGCCACGCTGGGGGCTGTGCGAGGATCTTAAGGCTGTTCTGGCTGCAAGCCTGGTCCCTGCTACGTTCAATTCCAGCTGCATGGGCTGCAGAGCCGCCCCTGGTCTTAGCCACATGATTTCCCTCGGCGCTGGGATAGCACCTTCCAGCAAGATGACTTGGCATCTTATGGCTGGAATTCTTCAGCAGCCGCACTGGAGGGGGGCAGCCAGGATCTTAGCAGCCGGGCTAGGGCGCAGCTGGCCTCCCCTCCTCCTGCTTGGCTGCCGCTGGGGCCCAGCCCTGATGGGATGGGGCCCCGCAAGCTCCCGGGAAGGGGCCTGGCCCTGCAGCAGAGTGCACCCGGCCCAGCACGACCGCGCGAAACTAGGCTGGGCCAGCCTGTTACCTGTTTCCAGGCCGGAAAAAAAGTTTTTCTCGGGCTTGCCCGTCCTTAAAATGTGTTTTCACAGAAGCGTGTTTAACTATGTGTCAATCTTCAAAGCTAGTCACTGATGTCAGGCACTGAAGAAGCTCTTTGCAGCTCCTCACAGAAAACTACTTCTGTGGTTAGTTCCTTCCCTCTCAACCAAAAGTCAATTAATACAAAACCAACACACTAATTTTCTTTCTATGTGACTTAACAATATCCTTGTACTCTTCTTCCAGTTGCCTGCTCCTTCTTCCAAAGATCATGAACTCTGATCTTCCCTGCTGAGTTCCTCCCTATTTAGCCAAGCCAGCACATAGAGACAGTCTGGTCCTGTGCCTATAATATTTCCTTCTTAAAGTACATCTAGACTTCTTAGACCCTTTTGGTTTTAAGGGCTTATTGCCAAGGGACTGACTGAACCAGTGTTCTGAACAGGACAATGTCCACCCTCCTGAAGTCCAATATTTTGTTGACACCCCTGAATATTGAAAACTCTTGTGTCATGGCTGCTGAAGATGGCTCCAAACACAGCGTCTCCCCCAGCCCTTCTCAGTTTGTAAGCAGCAGATCCAGCAGGGTAGCTCCTCTGGTAGGTTTACTTCCCAGCTGTGTTGGGAAGTTATCTTCACACACTCCAGTAATCTCCTAACCTGCCTCCTCTTTGCTGTGTTAAATTTCCAGAAGACATCTGGCAGGTTAAAATTTCACATGATTTCATGACAATCATGAAACATCAGTCAGCTTATCTTAGAATAGTTCATCCACTTCCTCATCCTCTATGGGTGTTCTGTAACAGATTCCCACCAGGATATCTGCCTTCTTGGCCTTCCCCCTGATTGTCACCCATAGATACTCAACCTTCTCGTCACTGTCCTGGAGCTTTGTAAAGTCAAAACGCTTCCTAGTGTACAGAGCAACCCCACTACCTCTGGTTCCTTGCCTGTCCCTTCTGAAGGGCTTGTAGCCATCCAATGCAACACTGGTCATCCCACCACATTTCTGTCATTGCTTTCCTGCTGCACTCTGGCTCCTCCTATTTGTTACCCATATTGTGTGCATTGGTGTAGTTGCACTTCAGCTGGGCTACTGATTTTACCCCTAACCCTGGCATTCTGGCTCTAGGCTCATCTTAAGTGAGCCTGGTCTTATTCCGACCCCCCTCAAATCTAGTTTAAAGGCCTCTTAATCAGCTCTGCCAACTCATGGACAAGAATCATTTTACCCCTTTGAGACAGATGAACCTCATCTGTCTCCAGAAGTCCTGGTATTACATCAATTAACTCATGGTTAAAAAAAAATTCATGAAACCCACCATTCATGAGGTGGGTTCTCCTGTTCATTTCAGTGTTCTTCCCTGCTACTGATCAAGGGATCAAGGAAAACACTAGAGGATCTCACAGAATCACATAATGGGTAAGGTTGGAAGAGACCATGGTGGGTCATCTGGACCAATCTCCCTTCTTAAATAGGATCATCCCAGAGCACATGGCATAGGATAGTGTCCAGGCAGTTCTTAAGTATCTCCAGTGAGGGAAACTCCACAACCTCTCTGGGCAATCTGTGCCTGTGTGTGGTCATCTGCACAGTAAGGAAGTTCTGTTTGGAACTTCCTGTCCATAACTTTCTTCCCTGTCCACCTCACTGTCCACTGATCCAGGCAACGCTTGCTGAGTTTGCCTGTGAGGATGTTGTGAGAGGCATTATTGAAAGCCTTGTTGGAGTCAAGGTAGACATTAACCACTGCTCTTACCTCATCCATCCATCCATCATCTCATAGAAGACATTCAGGTTGGTCAAGCATGATTCCACTTAGGTGAATCCATGCTGACTATTCCTTACCACCTTTTTGTCTTCCATGGGGATGGGGATAAGTGCCTCCAGAATGAGGCGCTCCATCACCTTTGCTGGGATTGAAGTGAGGCTGACTGGCTGGGAGTTCCTTGGGTCATTCTTCATTGCCCTGTTTGAAGACTGGGACGACATTTGGTTCCTTTCAGTCCTCAGGCATCACTCCTAACCACCACAGCCTTTCAAAGATGATTGTGTGCAAGTCAGCTCTCTCAACATCCATAAATATATCCTATCAGGGTCCATGGTCTTGTGGATGTCAAGATTGCACAGGTGTTCTCTAACCCAATCCTCCCTTAAAAGGCTTTCTTCCAATGTTCCTTTACTCCGGCCTCCTGGGTCAGTGATTCCTGAGGGCTGGTCTTGTTAGTGAAGACTGATGGAAAGAAGACATTCAGTAATTCCTCTGCTTCCTCTGTTACCAGTGTCCCTCCCGCATTTAGCAATGTCCCATGTTATCCTTACTTTTACTTTTCTTATTGGAGAAACCATTCTTGTTGTCCTTGACATCCTTGGCCAGATCTAATTCCTGATGGGCCTTGGGCTTCATTGTCTCAGCTTACCCTGACAACCTGTCTATATGCCTTCCAAGTACCTTCACCCCACTTACATCTCCTATGTATTTCCTGCTTATGTGTGTGTAGTATCAGAAGCCCTTTATTCATGGGCTTATCTTACCATGGAGGTCTCTTACCCCTTTGCTTGATTTCTTGCTCACTGGCCTGCACTGGGATGCCAGTTCTTGAGCCTGGAGGAAGTGATCCTTGAATGTCAATTTCTCTTCCCTGCAGAGCCTATTTCTGTGGATTCTTTCAAGAAAATTCCCTGAAGTGGCTAAAGTTCTCTACACACGTTTCTCATTTCTCCTGTTTGTTTTCCATACTGGGTGCATTGGTGTACAGGCACGTTATAGAAGTATTTGATTGTGCAAAAGGATGCCCCCTAGTCTGTCATGTGGTTACATCTTCAGATGCTTGTACTCACTGAGTGTATCTTGGGTGATCACTATAGTTCTGCCCTTCCCACACCTCACCTCTATCAAGCCTGGCCATATTCTTTTTCCTCTTCAAATCTAGTTTAAAACTCTCTCAAGTTAGCCCTGGAGTTAGCCCTGCTAACTCCTGAGCTAAAATCCTTTTTCCCCTTTGAGACAAGAGGATCCTGTTTAATGCCAGTGTTCTATTAACTGACCCATGATGAACAAAACCAAAATTCTGATGGTAACACAGAACTGTGTTACCAAGGGGTTCATCTGCATGATTTTCTTGACAGGACAGAAGAGAACAGAACTTGTGTTCCAGATCCTGTCTCCTAGTAGTGCCTATTACTTGAGCCCCAGGAAGGCAGCAGACTTCCCTGTGGGATGGGTCCAGCTGGCATGTAGGGCAGTTCCTCAGTTCCTCTCAGAAGAGAGTTGCAACAACTACTCTTCTTTCTCTTTTGCCTGAAATTGTGATGCATTTGGTTTATTGACTTGTGCTGGGTAACACTCCCAGGTAGACCTTCATCTTCATTATAATTTGTTCTTCACTATCATTTGTTTCACCCTTGGGTTCTAGAGCCTCATACCTATTTCCTGAGGTTACCTGTGAAAGCAAGGGAGGTGATTCTCCTGTTGCCCCCAGCTGGGACCTGTTTCAAATTTTCCCCTTGTCTTCTAGTTCCCCTCCTTCTGTCTGATGACAAGAGTGTTGGAGTTCCGCAGCTTGTGCTGAGCTTCTACCTCCTACATTTCTCTCAGGAATTTTCACCAGTCTATTTTTCTGTCAGACCCCGATACTCTTCAGCCTCTCTACTCCCTCTCTAAACTCAGCCACCAGGCTCAGCAGGTCATCCACCTGGTCCCACTGCACACACGTGTAGTATAGTGTACTTCTGCCCTCTGGGGCTAATGCCAAGCTCCAGCACTCCCTGCAGCTGCAGACCTGAGCAGGTGCATGCTTCTGAGGAAGCTTGGTCTGGGTTGCTGTGCTCCTACTAGCAATGGCTTTTGGCTTTATGGAGATCACTGTTGGATCTGTTCTCATGGGGTAAATGAAAACCACCTGGTGAGCTCTCCTAATGAGCTGAGAGGGTCACTCTGCCCTCATACATGCCCTGCTCATGTGAATTTCTGCAGCAAGTGCTGTACCACATCCTTCTGATGTGCCATGTCCTGTTTACCTTACCCACCTTTTCACTGTGCTCCAAGCTGCTCATGCTTGTTAGAGTCCTTTAAATCTCCTTTGGTTGCTCTGGCAAGGCCCTCACCATGTAGGCTGCACCTGGGATAGCTCCTGGACCCTGTCACGTCTCTCCCATCTCTTGGGTTTCCCTGACTCTGGGAACCCCCTACCAGGCTCTTTTGCCCTGTAACTGCAGGCACTGTGGCTCCTGTTGTTGCTGCTGTCACTAAGTGCCTCCTTGGCTGATGAGGTCGGTTGAGTGCCAGTTGGCCTTTTACCTTGACATTGTGGTTTGAGCAATAGCTAACAGCACTAATGAATAGGAGCAGCTGAGCCACTGTAGTGAGTTTTGCAGCAAGACATGAAATGTAAGGGTCTTCTTTTCCCGGCCATAATGCAAGGTAGCACTTAAAAGTCTTGTCAGCTGCATTTGTGACCATCTCAACTTTGAAAGGCTGCCATTTTACTCTCTTTCCTGTATATGGTGGTTTCGTTGCTGTTCTAATTTAGTTCTGTTTGTTGTAATGATGACACCCCTGAAAGTTGTTCCTATTCAGTACATGTCACTGCCTATCAACTGTTCAGCACACACTGAAAAGGAAAGCAAATAAAGTTAAGGAAACCATCTTTTGTGGAATTCTTTTATTAAATATGAAAACCAGCAACAATGTGCTAGATGAACAAATGAGGATGAAAGTAAATTTGTGTTCTTTGTAAGACTTTCGCACACCATCCAGTATTAGGGGGAAATTGTACATTTGTGTTTTAAAGACAGTAAAAATCTCATGTAGAATATGTAAGGGGGAGTGTTTTATATTCTCAAACATTGTGTGATTTTGCCAAAAGTTGTTATATAAGACATGATAAACACATGCTATGTGTGGATGAATTTACATATGGAGAAAAAGGGAAGTTGCTGTCTTTATGGTCATAAGCGAGGGTGTTTAGTTTTGTTTTTTTCCTTATTTGCAGTCACGTAATTTTCTTAATACTAACCATTTTTCTGATTCCTGAAAGGTGTAACTGTTGTGACATCAGCTGTGGTGGAATTGCATTCACCTATGAAAATCAAAACAACACTAAAACTGGACTTCAGATTTGACTCTCTTACTTTAGTGTTGTATAGTCCAAATTCAAAACAGGTGAGTATAAGTTTGGTTACAAAGAGTAATTAGCAGCTTTTTGCCTAGAGTCCTGGAAATTCTGAACAAGAATAGCTTAATTTATGACAGAGAAAGTGTTTTCTAGCAATAATAACAAGTGTAATGGAAATGAGAGAACAGCTATTTTAGTTAAGTCGCTTGGTAGATACTAAGGAAGTAGAATAGCCAGTGCTAGTACATAATATGTGGCGTCTTCTGTCATCTGAGTAAAAATTGATGAAAATTTACATTAATTTAAAATATAGTTTGGGAAGAAAAATTTGCAGAAGAATGAAAGATATCCATTAGTTACACGTAGAGATGGGTACATGGACACACACAAAATGATGGAGAAAGAGTCTTAAATTTGTCAGTAGGAATGCATTTATGTTCACCTTGGTTTAAACTTACAAAACTTGTCACAAGATTTCTGACTAAATTTTGTAATTTATTATAAACTTAGGTCTCTCATTTATGTAAGCTTGCTTTAGAAAGATGGTAGAAGGGCAAAACTTCACTCTTTGAAAGTTCTCCCTTGTATGTTGTTATTTGTGATTGTCTATTGAATTAGTAGTGGGTTTATTTAATTTATTATTATTATTGAAAATATCATCAGTTAGAATAAAACTGTGTATCACAACTATATATTATTTTTGTTACCTGTAATGAAATCTACAAATGTTTCATTTAAACAGGTTAACAGTTTGGATCAGAGAGATGACCTTTTGAAGCTTGCAGAATTTAAATTAGTTCTCATGTCAGCTGCTCTGAAAATGTTATCAGATGGTTCAATGAATGCGTCAGTCAAACTGGCAAACTGTACATTAGATGATAAAAGACAGTCAATCCAGAAGGCTACACCAAGGTCTGTAATTTTACATAATTTATTAGAGTTAGAAAAAGAGTTCATAATGTTTTAGTTTAATTAATATTCTGTTAAAACCGCAATTGTTTTAGTGTAGGGGTTCTTAAAGTACCTGTTACTGTGGATTTATGTGTTTCATGTGCCTTTTGTTCCACATATCTTTGAGAGACCAGTGCTAGATACAAAAAATGAAATAAACTGAACTTTAAATATAAATTTAATAAATGTGCATAGAAAACAATTTCACTTCCCACTTTAATGAGATGCTAAGTGAGACTGAGATGATGTTTCATGAGTAGTAACAAACTTCAGTAAAATGTAGTACTTTAGATATGTGAGCAAGTAAATATGATTGTTTGACTTGTTAAAATTATTAACACCTTTTGTTACCAGTGTATGGGATTCCAGTTAGTTTTAAAGTTATATAAAATTCATGCTAATGTTTTTATTGGTCATGCCCTAAAATTATTTTTATTGCTTTTTAAATTTGATCTTGTTAATGTATTGCATCATTCTCAGAATGAGAATCTTGAATGTTCTTCAGTATTTGTGGCTGGCTTCTTATTGTTTCATTAAATGCCGCCTTAATTGTTTTTCAGAATGGTGGAAATGAAACATGGATTTGAAAAAAAAGTTATGGTGGATGTAAACTACAAACAGGGGAGAGATGGCACTGTTCTTGATGTTATTGTTCAAGAGATATACCTTTGTGCAAGCATGGAGTTTCTACTTACTGTAGCAGATATATTCCTAAAGGCTAATGCAGAAAGTGCTGCTGCACAGAGAAATCTCAAGCAGTCATTACCATCAAAGGACCAAGGTATATACCAGTATACATTGGAGATAGTTTAAAATATGTATTTGAATATCAGCTTAATTTTAATACTATGTAAATAATACATATGTATTTAGTTATTATTAATATTTAATGCTATGTAATACTGTGTAAAAAATACAATACTCTTTTTATGCTATTTCCTGTGTTGATATGTATAGAACAGCTTGTAACCACTGATGTTGCTTTCTTTGCATCATGGAAATAGATTCATAACCTTTAGTCTTCGTTTCCAAATGAAGTCTTGTTTCACTAGAGAAAGAAGATAGCTAAAAATGTATGTTTAAAATAAAATAGGAATAATAATGAAGCATATTATATTGTGCTTGCTCATGGAATAGGCCTGCCTAATATTGTTGCCTAGAAATGTAATTTCATTTGTCCACTGATGTGCATTACTTCCTATATCAGAAAACAGACTTTTAGATTGAGCACTTGACATAAAAAATTGGTCCATTAGAGCATCAGAGCAGGAAATACTATTTTTATGCTTCCATGACTCAAGTAGTTCTCATCAGGTATGCCAAAGCAAGTCCCTGTATTTTTGGTGTTGTTTTCCTGTGCCCTGAATATCATGGTGGTGTCCCTTTCAGCCAGACCTACTGTGATTATTTGCTGGTGATCAAAGTCTGAACAGATAAGGAAGTCTTATATGAAAGTGTATTTTTATTTCAAGTGTTAATGCTGCATGATTGTCCTGTGGAAAAATGAGGGTTTGCTACTCCAGAGTAATGTGGAGTAATGTGCCTGGCATTTTCGTAAGACTCTTTATCAGAGCTGGCCCATGTAGGTATGGAGTGAAGCTTATATATTTGTTAATGTCACAGTTAGTAATAGTGGGGATACTGTTACCCTTTTTATTTTGACTGAGAAGCTTTGTGGAGTTTTTTGTTGTACACAAGAGTAATTAGATATTAAATGGTTTTGTGCCTTCAATGAAGAGCCTAGAAATGTCAGTTGCAGGGATTGACAGATTTGCTAACACTAGTTGTGATAGACCTTACCCCTGAATAGGCAAGTCCTCCCTGTAAGTTACAAGAATGAATTAATTTTTGTAAATAATATCATTAATTATTATAATAAATTATATTAATAATTAAATCACAGCAAGAAAATAATAGAAATTGAATCTTTGAACAATTAAACTAATGCAATTTATATTTCTGAAGCATCTGTGCAGTCGGTATCTACGATGGAAGTGAACATTGTTGTTAAAAATCCAGAGATTGTGTTTGTGGCTGATTTAACAAGAAGTGACGCTCCTGCACTGGTGGTTACAACACAGTGTGAGGTCTTCATTAAAAGTAGCCCTGAAAGGTACAGCATGACAGCTGCTGTTAGAGAGATACAGATGAAAGCATGCCCATTTCTTCCAGAAGAAAGGAAAGGGAACATTACTACGGTGAGTTTGCAGCCGTTCAGTGTATATTTAAAAGGTGCTGTTTAACCTATACTACTAAAATACAAGTAATATCTCAAATGTTCATCATTAAAATGTATAATACAGTATAGTAGTATACATTTACAGTATGAGTAAAATTTTGTAGCTAACATTTTTTTGATTTTATTCTCTTTTGTCTAATATGCCTAAAGCAGCATCTTGACCTGTGGCATTGGGGTTTGCTTTGTATGACAAGCTACAACAAGCTATGCAGAGCCCAAAGGAGTAAAAGGTTAATTATCTTTCATATCCCATGCAAGCCAAATAAATAGAGTTTCGTAAGTGTATGCTACGTCAAAAGCAGTATAATAAATTTGGAGTGCTATCAGTCTACCCATGTCCTCAGACCAGACATGAATTTTGAAGAGCAGATCTTTTCAGCTCTCTGTTAATGCCTGTTTACTTATGGAGTGACATAGGAAAGACCAAAACTATAAGCAGAAAGGACTGGGGCTTCCCTTTCATCTCAGTTTCAAGTAGAATCATAGCTCCTCAGTTTACTTCTTGTGTTTACACAGTCTTTAATTGCACTAAAATGTTAAGTCTAGTCATTTAGAAAGCAATGAACTAGCATTGATGGCCACAATACCGTGCAAAGTTGTTTGACTTTTATTTTTGTAGCTGGCAAGTGTGGCATAAAACATTACTTTCTTTGTAGAAAGCTATTGGCAGGCTTCACACACAAATTTTTCCTCTTACAGGAATATCTTCTGATGGAATCCCTTATCTCATACTGTAGAAACAGGGAAAAAGACCTGAATCTGGCAGGATGCTTGTGCTATAGATGGAGGAAAAAACTTCAGGGGACAGTAGTTTAAGTGCTTAAAACAGTACCTTCCTTGAAAGATGAAGAAAGTTCTTGAGGAGAGTCAAAAATAAAAAAAATTACCTGTAGGAACATAACTGCTCCTTTTGAAACATATGTGTAAGCAAACCTCTGAACCCAGGTTTTCTGTAAACAATCTAAATTTAGTCTGGGAAAGGGTAATAGTTTGAAAGCAAGCCAGTGAGAGATGCAAAGTCAGAAATACAATTTAATAGGAAAATTAAAATAAATGCAATAGTACAGAAACACTGACAGAGTCAGACTACAACCTGACACCTTGCTGGTCAGGACGTTGGTAGCAGTCCAATTAAATGGTGGCTGCTGTTGAAGTGGTAGATGTGGTTCTGTTGAAGCAGTGATTCTGTATAAGGCTTTGATCTTCCTCTGAAGGTCCAGAGGTAGATGTGGAGCTCTTGTCCCCTGGGAATTTGGTGGATAAGGCTGCCTGTGATGTTCTCAGATCATATCCAGGTAGGAATGCTTGGTTCCCCCCTCTGGGCAGAGCATCTCACAATGGGATGATGTAATTTTTGAGTCATGCAGTGAGGCTTTTCTGCCCATTAGCAGAAGTTATCTCGTGGATTATCACAGGTAAATCATGGAGAGATAAAGAGCACTACCCCACTTGGTTTTAACAGTTTATGAAGATGGTAATAGAATATATACTTTTGGGTACATCTTACATTGTAAGCTAAGACAGAAAGTAATTGGGTTGTGTTGTAGTTAGGGCCTGGTGCTGCGGAAGAACTCGGGATGTAACGGAAAATTAGCAGACCCCCTCTCTGCTAAGATAGTAAGTTCCCTTGCAATTAGCCAATAGCACTTAGGTGTGACGTATGCAGATGGGAGTAACACAGTGAACTCAGGCTATAAAATGTCAAGTTTCCCTTTAATAAGTTGCCATTTTCGCCATCCATCACATTGATGCAGTGGGAGATGGTCTGCGCGGTTGGGATAGCCGCCCGTGCTGGAGTGGGTCAGGGTGCTTATCTTGCTTCAAACCCAACAGGGTTGGATGAATTCAGCCTTTTGATGACAAAACCATCAAAACTGAGAGACCTCTAAGATCACTCAGTCCAACTGTCAACCCAGTGTAGGAGCCAACAGAGAGATGGGGACTTCAGACAACTCTTCTTTAGAAAGCTATTTATTCCATAGACTAGATTACAGCAGTGGGGGTCTAGTGGGTCAGCCTACAGCTGCTAGCTATAGGCAAGCCGTGTGTCCTGAAGCCCCTTTAGTTCCGGTTACAATGCATTGCATATTTTTCTTTACTGAGCATCTTAATACATAACAACCAATCAGCATCATACACAATACCTTTACATTTATATATAACCTATCAAAACTGCTAAAATTATCATATTATGTTAGTGACTAACCAGTCATTCGAGTTAGTAATTTTTTTGTTTTGCAGTGGAAAATCCTTCTTGCTTTGGTAATAAACCTCTTTCTGGCTGCCTATGCTTTGTTACTTGGTAGAAAGCATGCTTTGTTTGAAGACCACTTAACCTGTTGGACTTGAGCCATACAACCTCCTTCTAACTGACTAAACCTTTGTTCTAAACCTTCCAACTCAACTAAACCTTTGTTCTCTCAGCTGTTTCAGCAATAACTGGCCATAAAAACATCTTTTTTATATCAAAACAAAGTTGCTAAGCATTCATATCTGTGAAACTTTTCTATTAAATTTTCATCCTTCCCATTAACCCATTACTACTACAGTCACCCCTTAACCATATGCCCAAGTGTCATGTCCAGATGCCAAGTAGGGAAACTAACCTCTAGATTTAAAATAGCATGAATGATGAGGGGTTTTTTGTGTTTCTCATATAAAGAGAAGGTCTAAAGAGGAATCTCTTATTTTTCATTCCTGAATGCAATACAAAGTAAGAAAAAAAGATAATTTGAGCAACAGAATAAAAAACATTATTATGGACAAAACTTCTGTTAGATCAAACTCATTTGGGGAAAGTGTGGTCAAACTAATTCAAGGTATATCTGTGCCTCCAGCATCTAATTCAGATATGGACAGAGATGTCAGAAAAGATGGCAGAGTCAGTATGGTTTGCAATTACAGTTTTTGAAAGATTAATCATCTCAGATGGGGATCAGAGAGCAAATTCTCCTGTCTGTACAGTGTCAGTAGTAATTTCATCTGAGTGCTCTATTAATAACACAGCACCAGTTTTGTTTATAGCATACCTCTGATTTGGTAAACTTTGGCGAGTGAAAACGTTCAGGTACTGATTGCAAAACAAAGCTGGAACTGAGTGGTTGTGATTCAGACATATTCAGTTACGTTGTTACTCAGGAAAACTATAACTGTGTCATTGCTGTCTTGGCAACTGAAGAACTGGTTCTTCTCAACAGGCAGAGGCATGGTGGTGCAGTGCATTGAAGGCATCTGCAGACTTTACCATAAGAATGGAGTTACTGAAGTGTAATGCTTTTTACTGTGGATGACTTCTCAGTCTTTAGTGATTGAGAATGGCTGAGGTGGTGCTTCTAGATATTTGTTTTTTATTTGAACTTGTCATTAGTGTTCAGATTTCTCTTAATTTTGAATAATGAAATATTTTTCAATTCAATTATCTTTCAGTTTTGAAGAATGAAGTAAGTTTTTTTTCAGTACTTTTTATGTCTATGATTTCAAAATAAGTTTTTAATTATACTATTTTCTCTATGTGACGTGTTTGTTGTACAGGTATTGCAGCCTTGTGACTTCTTCTTTGAAATGAAACAGTCAGGAACTAATCCACAGACAGCTGATCTAACCATTAAATCTCTAACAATAGAAGTAAGTAAACTTGTGTTTGTCTTGATTTTGGGCAAATTTGGGAAGAAACCTCTGAATTGTGTCCCTCCAGAAAGCAAATTCAAGCAGCCCCTCTTCCAGCTGGTTCAGGAAAAGATTTCCTTGGAGAATAAGTGGGAAAGCCTGTTTAATTAACAAGCAAAGTATCTAGAAGCATAAAAAAAAAATTAAAAATATTAAACATTAAAACCTCTCGCTGTTTGAAGAGATGGCAAATTCAGAAAGTCCTTGTTGTGGGGTGTAGCTTGGCTCGCTCAGTCTTGTATCAGTCCCTCTGATGCTGGAAAGTGCTGAGGCCCAGGCCCCAGTGGGCCACAGGTGTGAGCTCCCAGTGTTTGTCTGGGGTTTTGGTCCAGAGCAGGTTTGAACAGATCCAAGAAAAAAAAGAAAAAAAAACCCCACAGTCCAGGGAGCTTCTCTGCCTCAGCTAGCTAAAAACTAACTAAAAAGCAAAGGAGAGCTCTCTTCCTGTCCATGCTGCTGACAACTCAGTCTGGAAAGAGATGCAGGGGAGTGAGTGCAGTTTCTGAAAGCAAACTGCAGCTTCTTCTTTCCCTCCTTCCCTCTCAGAACCAGTTTTAAAGGTACAGAACTTAACATCCAGCATAAACAGAACACACAGTTTGGGATACAAACGTCATAAAGTCACCCCAGGACAGTATTGTATTATCACTCAGCAGGCTATGAAGTTGCTTCAGGAATGACTGAAGTGGGGAATTGTTCCTGTTCTTCATTAGAAGAACATCTACCTGTTGAGCATGTCAAAAAGATTGAAAGTTAACAACTGCGCCACTCTGCTTCAGTTTTGAAATCTGTGTTTTATAAAATGGCTGGTATGCAGAGATACATCTTGAAATGCTAGGATAAATCATTGAACGATGTAGTTTAGAAAGCTTTCATCAGGAAATGTCGTGGTTTTAAACCAGTAACTAAAAAAATTACTTATTTTCTTGCTGTGAGATATGGATTAGAACAAGAGCAAAACAGGCCCAAAACTTAAAAGGAATAAAGACAGTTTATCAACAAACTACAAGAATAAGAACACCAGAATAAACTTTCAGAAAACCCCCTTATCTTCCACATCTTAACTATTTCTCTGTACACATGACAACATAGAGACAAATAACTAGAACTTTGGTGGTTAAGAACAGTCTCAATTCTTGTTACAGTCTTTTCATCAGTCTTTGTAGAGAAACAGAAGTCTCTTTCTGTTAACTTACGGAGTTTCTCATGAGAAAACTATTTTTTGTCATAGTTTTCTATTTTTCTAATGCCAGCTGCCCGGAAATCTGTCATTAGATCTTCTCCTCCCATCTCACATCTCTCCGAGGTGTGTATGGGTCACTGAGCTTAGGGATTTTATTTTTAAGGATAAGTCATTCAAAGGCAGAAGTCTTCTTCATCTGTCTCTGTGAGCTTTCTTGGAAAACAGTTTTCTCTTTGCCCCCCAAAGCTTCAAAATCTTCACTCTACTCAACTCCAGCAACTCACAGTATCACAAGTACTCTCTCTCTTTTGCTCAAAACTTACACTTTGAATACTTTGTTCCTCCCAACACTCATCATGAATTAAAGGAGTCTTTTTATACTATTATTGTCCATCTCCATAGCTTTAACAGAAAGATATTTCAGCTGTAAAGCATCTCCTCATTCTCTCTTTCTTATTCAAACTTAACTCTTTTCTTCACTGTTTTTGGTTCTATGATGTCTTCTCTATGTTGATTGTCTCTCTCTCTGTCTTTCTGAGAAAAGGAGTAATCTGTATGTTTATCCAGGTAGTAAAAGAATTAAAAGCTTTTGGAAAACTGCAAGAGTTCATGGTGTTAAGTTTCAGTCTAGCAGCAAAAACTGAAAACCAAGCTCGGCTGGCCAGCGCTGCTTCTCTTCCCCCTCCCCCCACCTCCACCCCGCGGCCTTGTAGGCCTGGAGAGGGGGGGGAGGAGGCCGAGACAGAGCCTGCTACCTTGTCCGAAGCCGGAAACCAAAGAGAGCAAGAGAATTCTGTCTGTACTTCTTAAGGGGGTGTTTACAAGTTGAATTCACTTTTTAATGGTCAGATCTGCTGTCAATTCTTGGAAATGACCGATAATTGGTCAGAAGGAAAAACTCCCATCAGCCACCAGCAGCTTCAACTTCCCCTCTTTCTAAGCTGTCTTAAAGGTAAAGCTACCCCATGACAGGAAATAAGGCAGGGGTGGCAAATCTGAAAAGACTGAACTATTGCTTTTGGAAGGGGAAGTATATTTGAATGAGAGTCCTGTAGAAAATGGAAGTGTTTTCTTTTTGTAACATACTTGTTATACTTTTGTGTCTGAAACTAGCTGTTTCTGTACTAGAATCTCATTTGCAGTTATTCCAATTTCTTTTCTGTAGGTTTCACCAATAATCATAAACACAGTAATTACTATTACATCAGCTCTTTATCAAACTACAGAAGCAACAAAAGAAGAGATTAGTCAAATTCCGCCTGATTTGTGGAATAAGAAAGATATAAAAAACCTGAAAATGTGGTTTCTAGAAGAGACTAATGAAAATGAAGATAAAAATCCAAACACAGAACTGGTTCCCACAGGAGAGTCATTGAAAATTAATATAGAATCTGTTTTTCTAACACTTGAAGCTGGGGTTGGGCACAGAACAGTGCCAATGCTTTTAGCCAAGTCCTCATTTACTGGAGAAGTCAAGAACTGGAGTACTCTAATCAACCTGCATTCTCGTCTTGAGCTAGAGGTGAGGAATCTTACAAAAAGGAACAGTTGTTTTCCTAGGATGCTAAGCCTTATTGTCTAAATTTTACATACATGTTATTTAGACAATAAAAGAAAACCCATATATTTGATGACTAAACTACAGATATGTGTTGTGGGAACATAATGGGAATGATGGGTTAAGATAGCTAAATTAAAATGAAAATCTGATGCATCAGATGTAATGTTAATTAATGGCACAGTAATTGGTGTTATGCAGCCTCAAATTCGCACCCTTTGACTCCTAAAGACCTGTTGCATTAGTGTTAAGTGTTGGAATGGCAATTGGCTAAAATATCTAATAATCTTCAGTTAATATTACAGTAGAATATGTGTTGTTTCTAAAGAATACAGTGTGGTACAAATTTTGTTCATAAAACATCCAAACTGATTCACATTTGGAAATTAATGACAAAAGTCAGTGATTGTTATAGTTAGATTCTTCCTTATTTATAGATCTTGTGAATTACAGTGCACCTACCATTTAAGCCAAAATCATATTTTAGTGGCACAATTTTTACCATTTTCTTGGAACTGGGACTTTGCAGTAGAGATTGCTTCATTTTTTTCTCTAATGCATTTGTTTAATCTTATGGTAGTAGCTGAAAGTGCAATCTGATTATGAATCTTTTAGATTACCAAAATAATTAATATACTTGTAAATCAGAATTTGTTATTTAAGTTTTTCTAAATTCCTAACTGATTCCTGGATTTTGATAGGTACATTATTTTAATGAGATGTTTGGTGTGTGGGAGCCTTTGCTTGAACCTCTAGAAGTTGAGAAGACTGACTTATTCAAGCCATGGACTCTTGAAATCAAGGTATGGTTTCCAAAGCTGAAATCAAATATCACATTACAATACCTTAGAAAAAAACAAATGCTCTTCACCTTTAATTTCTGAGACTGATCTAACGATTTTGTTCTTTCTTGTTGGTTACTGAGAGTTTTTTTCCAAAATAGTAAATGAAACCAGTTGTTCTACAAGGAAAGATCTAGATTCACAGATCTCTTAAATACTGTTTTTCAGGTGGCAAATTTTTATTCTAGTTGCACAGGGTTATCAAAACAGCTTTATATCAGCTTGTCCTATTAGGCCATATGCTGGTGATGCGTTCAGTGACTTTGGAAAGACAAGCCACTGCACTGGTTCCACAGTAGTATGTGTTGCAGAATTGTGTTGGAAAAACTGATAGCTGTTGAGTAGCCTGAAGAGTATTGTGGGAGTAGTGCTCTTAACACTTCATTTTCATCCTTCATGGAAATAGACTAGGTTCTGTTCTCAAACTAGGTAAGATGTTATCAAAGGATGGGAGGTACCTTTTGTTTGTCTTCTTTCTGTCTTAACTGTTTCATTTCATTGTTACCTGACTTTTTTTCGAAACTGTTCAAGTATTTTTAGCCTGAGAAGTTGCTCAGAATTGAAGACCCACCCTTTTCCTAGGACTGCCATCAGAAACTTTCGGCAATAATAGCCTCAGAAGGATAAAGACTAAGTTACTGAAGTTAAGAAACTGCAAATTTAAAATACCCCCAACAATTTTCCAGAAAGGTACAAGACATAATAACAAAGAGAGGTAGAAGATAGTGAGTCAAACCTCATGTCTTCTCATCTCGATATGAAATAAAAAATTTAGAAATACATCATTTCCAAAAGTTTTGAAGGCTACAGAATATATTCCATCAGGGTTTTTTTTTTATTTTTTTCTTTCAGCCAAATGAAAAAAAAATAGATATTTGATTTGGAAACACACAACGACTAAATTTGGCGACTGTTTTAACACTAGGAAGTCAATTATGTGTAACATTTTACACATTAACTTGAGTTAATTTACATTTAACTCAAGAGGTTAAGATGAATGTTTTCACACAATATTTATTGAATATGTTAGTATATATTTTCTTTACTTTTGAATAAAATCATAAATTCAGCTACTGTTACTGGAATTTCATTGACTTCCTGAATATATAATTAGTCTCTTGTCTTATTCTCTCCCTCTTTCATTTTTATTTGAGAATAAAAACTTAAACAAAAACGACAAAAAAGAAAACTCTGTCAGGACATAGAAATAGGAAAAGGAGACAATAGTGAGTCTTAAGGTGAAGCTTTCTTCTACAGAAAGAGTGGTCAGATAAGAACTCTTTAAACATCTACTTTCAGATGAAGAAGGCTAAAAAAGCACTGTTTGAATCAGATGATGAAGAAGAAGAGAACTACAAAGTTCCAGAATATAAAACAGTAATAAATGTTTCCTCAAAAGACCAGCTGAACATTACACTGTCCAAGCTAGGACTGCAAATGTTGAGTAACTTGGGCACGGTAAGAAAGATTCCTTAACTATGCAGTGTAAGAATTGCCTGATGAATACTTGCAGAGATCATCTTGGTGAAGTCTTACCAGTATGTTTATGTTTTTTATTGCTTCTTTGCTTTCTAGGCATTTGCTGAAGCAGCTAGTCAAACTTCAGACATCTTCAAAAAAGACCGAGCACCATTTGTAGTAATAAATTCTTTAGGAGTTCCTATCACAGTCTCGCCTAGTGATTCCTTTAGTGTCCTTAATGTTGAATTTGGAGCAAAAATATTTCATTTAGAAGACAAAGAGAGTTTAAATATGGAATTTGTCAGAACTAGAAATGAGAGTGACCAGTTCACAGCAATGACAACCCTGTGTAGCAAGAGATTTTACATTCAGATCTGTAAGTTCCAAAGTTCATGTATCTTCTGTTTTTGTAAATATTTATCATGCTTAATACAGTGTCTTGTACAAGTCAATTAATTTTGGAGGACAACGTAACATGAAAGGAATGTCTCTTTGAATTCTAGATGCATGGCAGTATTTGGAATCCTGCTTTAGCCTTTACAGCTGAAAATGATATATTTCATACTTCTTAATTTTTGCAGTATAGGTTTTCTACTGCAATAAACTATTTATGTAATAATCTTTATTGTAGTCAGATATTTGTTTGCATTTATATGTTATTACAGAACTCAGCTGCTCAAAATAATTTGTTTTAGAATTGAGTACTGTATATATGTGTGTTTACAGAATTTATTCTTGAGAGAAATGTTTTTAAGAAAAGATGGTTTTAAATAATTTTAAACAATCCATAGTTAAAGCCAAAATTAACATTTAACTATTTTTAGTGGTGTATGTTTACAGTTTGAATTGATTTATTGTAGCAATTGGCAGTTTTTCAAACTTGACCATATGATATATTAATTGAGTTGCTTTTACAATATAAGATCTGTACTCTGTTAATAAGCCTTTATGTCCTGTAAGCTTTTCCTGTGAGGCACTAATTCTATTTGCAGTAGCAAAACCCGCTTAAATATTTGAGTGATGGACAAATTTACTCTTTTCCTTGTGGCAAGAAAAGAATCTTTGCTGTTTCCTTAGTAACACTGTAAGAGCAGCATATAAAGAGTGCTGCTTGTACTTTTTCATCCAGTGGGCAGTTTTTTTATTATTAGATTGAATGACACGGAAAATTCTACTGAATGCACATTTTTGTCTTTCAACTCTTTCTTTGTGCTCCTTTTGAGTGTTTCATGTCTCATCTTGCACATTCTAGGTCCTCATAATCATTCTGCTGTGGAGAAGATTCCATTGACTAAAGTGGGTCGATGTACTTACAAAGTGAGACACGAGGAATCAGGCGTTGAGAGGTCAATTGTCAGTCAAATTGACACGGTTGAAGGAAGCAAGATGATAACTATACGTTCCCCTGTTCAGGTCATTATATACCCATACATTTAATTTTTTAATGACTGAAAATAATCCTGTCATCTTTAAATAAACATGAAAAAACAGATTTTAAAAAGTTACCTGAATGGTCCATATAACTTTGCTTTGTGTTTAATTTTTCAAGAATAAAAAGCATTTTCAAAGTGACAGATGGGTTGGATGCAGGTGGACATCAATCAGATTTTGGATCAGGATCATTCATTAGTAATGTTAACTAATACTGCCTCTAATTTTGGTCTTGAACGATTTGCTTAGTATGTAGTCATCAAATTTCTTTTAATCTTACCTTGGTTCCACAAGTTATCCTTCAGTCAGGTTATTTAATTTTATTCATCCTGTACCATTGATACGTTATTTTCAAATTCATTACGGTGTCATTTGAAAAGTGAGACCTTCAAGTGTATATGTCTTTTGTTTGAATAGTATTTTTGATAGATATTGTATGGTTTATAACTACAGTGAGGAATCAGATATTACAGTTCACTATATCTCTATCTCTTACAGAGGTAGTGTTCATGTTACATTTCAGTTAGTTTTTTTTTGCTCAAAGTGCTTTATGATTTGATTAATAAGAAAATTTACTGTTGGATTATTTTCTGCATTTTTTTCCTAAGAGCTAATTAATGCCATTCAATTAACCACATAATAAATAAAAAAGAATGTTTGCAAGAAAACTATGTGCCCCAGGATGGACATTTATGACTTAACCTTAAACTTCTGACTTCCTCTATACTTTCACTATGGATTTTTGAACCTTGTATTTATTATATTTTTAGGAGACCAATGTTTGGAATGTCACCATATAGTTGAGATTTGCCTGTCTTTGGTTTTTCAAAATCTTGTGTTTCTCCTTAAAAAGCATTTAATAAACAAAATATAGCATTAAACTGCACAACCAGATAATTTAAAAATATTTGCTCTTTTAGAGACAGTTCTTCTGAAATACTGAATAGTATATGGGCAAGATGAAAAACAAGACTTCTCATTCTTGCTTTATTAAGCTGAAAATACTTTGTCTTTACAGTTTTTCCTAATATGTGTTGTTGCATTTTTATTTTACGTAGATAAGGAATCACTTTTCAATCCCATTAAATGTTTTTGAGGAAGGAAGATGTTTAGGGACTGCTTCACCAGCAAATGAATTCAACATACCCTTTTCCTCTTACAGGTACTTTATTATATTTTTCTTCTATAGTCGAATACATTTATACATTTTTAATTATTGTATCCATACAGTTATGCAAAAAAATTGTTTACCTTTGCTACTTAATACTTAAATAATACTGTGCTGTGTTTGTTGGGTAGGATCTTCTCAGGGCATGTAGTCTGTGTTAAACAGAGTACTATTTCATTGTTGAATTTGAAGTATTTTGAAATCCATTTTTATGAACAAGTTAAATTATCTAAGCTACTTTAAAAATCTGAGCTCAGGTACTTCTGGAACTTGTAATTTACATGATACACTTCTTAGTGGGTGGTGTTTGGTGAATTAGTGCAGCATTTTTTTTTTCCCTGAAAAGCCTTCTTTTGATTTTTTGATTGTGAAGTAACAGATTAAAAGCTATACACTTAAACTCTTTCAAAGATGTAAAAAAAGATTCATCAACCTTAGAAAAAGTTGGCATATAGCATAGCTATGCTATTATCACATTCAAGCTAATAACAAAACTGCAATGAGTTTGAATGTACATTTTAGCTGAACTGTCACCAAGTTTTAGGTAGGTAGGTTTGCTTTGATCGATTTTTTTATGGTTGCAGAGACTTCCTTCTTCTGTTTTCTCCCAAACACTCATCTCATTTTTTACAGCGAAAACTTTGCATCTTCTTCATTACTTATGTTTTACTGTAGATTCATTAATTCATTGTTACTTCTAACCACCTGTATAAGATTTAGTGATGTTCCAATTGTGTAGATGAGTTCCACTACACAGTCAGGAAATGTGTTTAAAAAAAGTCTTCATTCAGAAGCAAGTGTATTAAATTCAAGCCATTGCCTTATAAAAGCCATGTGTTTAAATAATCCATGAACTAACTTGATGATTTATGTGACTGAAAAGAGGGGCACTTTCTGCATGTTTTAGGAGTAAGTTGTTGATCCAGACCTTTAGCTTAGAACAGGAGCAGAGTAGCACATGTAAGGAAATTCGGTAGTTTCTTCCTAAGAATCTCCAATTACCCTTTCTTTGTAAGGGAAGCATGTGGAGGTATGGAACAAAAAACCCCAACTGTTACAAGAGTATGAAATTTTGGGATCCAGTCCATAATTTGATTCCTCTTTTAATCAAGATAAAGGCAGGCAATGAACTACTGCTAGAAATCTTCATAAATACAAATATTAAAATGTCCCTGTTGCACAGTACTTTTTTATAATTGCAGCATTCAGTCAAATGTTAAGTGTCTAAAAATGTTTTCATTTACAGATCCGTACTGAGTTTGCAACCACTAGCCAGTGAAAACGGAGTGGGTGGAGAGTATGATATGTGTGAAGGAATTACATTTGATGAAATTATGAAAAATGTTGATGGTTTATTACAAAGGAAATGCCAGTCTGTGAGGTCAACTAACCACTCACTTATCATCAATATTGTTCCTGTAAAAGATTCATTGACAACTTCATTAAGTGCAGAAGATGAATGGGATTTTCCATATGTTGTTCATTTATGGCCTTCTGTTCTTCTCCGCAATCTTCTTCCTTACCAAATAACTTATTCCGTGGAGGTAATTACATAATGCTTGAATTCTAGTGATGTTTCCCACTTACATTGTGAAAGCTAGTTGAAATGAGACTGGAGTGAAGGGGTTCTGGTGGAGTATTTGTGAAGCAAGTTCACAGATCAGGGCGAGTCTTAAATAGTCAAAGTCTGTATTTCCAGAATTGAAATATTATCCTAGAATGTGAGATGTGCTGTTAATGAAGCCATACTTTAGATATGTATGCGAAGTGAAGCTTAACACTGTACAAGGTGGGTCCTGTGAGGGTCACTCAGTTGTTCAAGAGCAACTTGAGCCTTATTAAATAGTGCAGCATTTTCTGCGAAGACTGCCTCAAGTGGATGACCCTATTGTTAGCATTTTATGTACAGTCACTGACTTTCAGCAGTAGCTTTTAACATGCTTTGAACAAGTTCTCACAGACCTGCCTTTTTCCCAGGTTTTGGCTTGAATTTCAGTCTATTGCCAGACTTCAGATTCCTTCCTGATGAAATTAAACAATTAGGTGCACTTTGACTGTTAATAGGTATTCTTTCCAGTGTCAGATGAGAGACAGTCTTGCGTAAAAGATCTATAACATGCAGTGTAGACATTGATTCCTCAGCACTGTATGTTTCATTCCATGGATCTGGTATAATTGTATCCCACTCCTTATTGATGTTGCTTAGGATAATAGAAATACAGTTGGGAGACAGATTTTTTTCAGATGGTCTTAATATTAGTATTTGAACTCAAATAATAGAATCTAAATAGTAAAACTTCATCACAAAGAAACAATTACTGGGGCTGTAGCTTGTACCAAATGTTTGGAAGTAATAAGCTCTGTATAAACTTTTACAAGTTTAAATTTAATGAAGAAAATGCTGTGTTGAGGAAATTTGTCATTTAAGAATATTTGTGTGTTTGAACTTGGTGATAGATGGGCTTTTTGATGTTGAATATTGATGACCATGCACTTAGGTTCTCTTTGCAAATTGTCGTTTTAAGGTAGACATTTATGAAAGTAACATAGTTAAATAGTACAAAAGGTATTTCAAAATTATGCCTAAATAGCTTGCATCTTAATTTTTAAAGCTAGCTAAAAAATAAAAGTTGATATGAATTTTGTGTGTGACCATGTAAATGTATCCTGTTTGGTATCTGCTTGTCTTTCTAAGGGAAATGGGAACAAATATGACACTCTACAAGAAGGATGTTCAGCCCAGATTCATAATGCAGTCTTGGACCAAACAAAACTAGATTTGCAGTTGCTTAACTATCTTGATCAAAACTGGAGAACCGAGTACCAGATAAAAAGCAATGTCCCTGATATCAGCTTCACCACATTTCACTGTGTCACAGAGCTGGATAAGACTGAACTGGATATTGCTGTTCATGTGACCTACACAACTGGGCAGATGATAATAGCAATTCACAGTCCTTACTGGATGGTGAATAAAACTGGTCGAATGTTACAGTACAAAGCGGATGGTATTCACCGCAAGCATCCTCCAGATTACAAAAAACCCCTCCTTTTTTCTTTCCAGCCTAAAAACTTCCGTCAAAATAACAAGGTATTGTATTTTGCAAACCTGACATCTCTGTACTCCCTCATGTTGTTGTATGAAAGCATTTTTATATTTTAAAATGTATTTACTGTATTTAAATTCTATGCTCTGTAAAGGGCATGAAACTAATATCTCTGTCTAAAAACAGTGTTCTAAATAAGCGTGTTGTCAAATATGCTTGAGATAGGAAATTTACATTACCAGAGGTGTTGTTAAGGAAGATATCCTCGCTTGAAAGAAGTTCACTGAGAAGTGTTTTCTAAATAAAAAAAATCCTTTTACTTTTTAACTGCATTAATAAAGGTTCTTATTCCAAATAAGACATAGAAATTGTGTAGAATATGTAAAGCTGTGGCATTTGAGCAATGAATGCTACTTGAAAAACTAGTACTTGAAATGGTGGTTGATAGATTGATTCTGGGTTAATAGAATGCTAAGGATTCTAGGTTATGGCTAAGGTTCACCATATGGATTTCCTGATTTTTTTGAATACTGAATGATACTGATGGATGTATATGAGAGAGATTACAAGAATGCATTGATTTACCTTTGAAATTTTAATTACAATATTTTTTAAAGAATCCTTATGTGATTGCTTCCTTTGGAATATCTTATACTTAAAATGCTTATTCCACATGGTTTATAACTAAACATGGTAGAAAAAATATTTGTGAGATGATACTGGCAGTTGTTATGTCTTGACTTTTTAACAGAAACACCAGTATTTACATTTATGTTTATGTATACTTTATATATCTATAACTTTAAATGTTTTCAGTGAATTGTAAATAGAAAATTAATTCAGGGGACTTCTTCACAGGTGCAGCTTAGGGTAACTGACAGTGAACTGTCTGATCAGTTTTCTCTGGACACTGTTGGAAGTCATGGTTCTGTAAAATGCAAGAGTCATAAAAAGGAATATCAAGTGAGTTAAATTTATCTTTCAGATTCATTATTTTCAGGAGATATAAATGGGGTTAAAAAAGTGTACTTAAAATAATCTCTTTCTGTTCACAGGTTGGTGTCACCATACACAATAGCAGTTTCAATATTACTAGAATTGTAACCTTCACTCCATTTTTTATGATTTCAAATAGAAGCAAATACACTTTGGAGGTAGCTGAAGAAGGCAAGGAAAAGTGGATTCCCATTGTTTTGCAACAGGTAAACTTATAATGGAACCTCTTCCAAGTTGTGCCTCTTAAGGGAAAAAAACTGGTTTGAACACTCACTAATGGAAAACATGAACCATATCCGGTATTCTGTGACAATGCCTGACTACACCATGCTTTTTCAACCAATGATCTGTGTCCTTTGCCATTTCTCAGTATTGCATTCGGACATACTGTTAAGATGACTTACATTGTACTTGGAATTTTTTATTCTATCACCTTGTGTCATAAATAGTATGAGAAAAAGACCTCTACTATATTATATTATTGTTGTATTATCTCTCTGCAGTGGCATAGGAGCTTCTGCTCATTTTAGCAGTGGTATGTGGTAGAATATTTTGGCTGACCTGCTATGCATGAAGCCACTGTGGTATGTGAAGAAATTCCCTAGTGTGGATCAGTTCAGAGAGATCCAAGTGGTTCTTCTGGATCTAGTTTCACTTCTACTTCTAAGTGCTCAATGCATACTTCCTAGAAAGGGATCCCTCAGGCCGCATGGTGTGTAAATGGGTTTAGGGCTTTTGTCTATGCTGCAGAGACTGTTGCAGACTGGGTATGCACCTTGTCTGTTTGCACTGCAGTACCACACAATTATGTCTTGTATGTGTGTTGAGTCTTGGGGCCATCATGCCTTCCTGCAGAACATGTAGGAAAAGCAGCACTTGTTTGGGGTAGTGTTGGAGGTTTCTTAAAGCTGGAAGTGATCTGTAGTGCCTTCTGGGAAGAGTGAAATCCTTCCCCTTACCCCTTGACAAGAGCATTATCCAAAACAGAGTTTAGCCTAACAAATAGTGTGGTTGAAGGCCCAGTTAATTTCCTGTAGAATCCTATAAGTGCAGGACTGTTAGGCTTGGAAAAGATTTCTAAGATAATGTATCAAGTCCAACCACAAATCTGGCTCTACTTAAATAAGTCACCACAAAAAGAGATCCCCAAATGCCACATCCACAGATCTTTTGAACAGTTCCAGTAATGGTGATTCCACCACTTCCCTGGGCAGTCTGTTCTAATGACAGACTTCCCTTTGGTGAAGAAATTTTTCCTCAGCCACTTTAAATGTCCTCTGGTGCAATCTGAGGCTGCTTCCTTTGGTCCTGATGCTTGGAGACCACCCCCCACTTTGCTACATCCTCCTTTCAGGCAAGTAGTAGAGAGTGGTAAGGTGACCTCTGAGCCTCCTTTTCTCCAGACAAAACAGTCCAAGCTCCCGCAGCCTCTACTCTACTCCTAGGACTTGTGCTCCAGACCCTTAAGCAGCTCCATTGCCTTTCTTTGGACACACTCCACCTCAGTATCAGCATCGTAAATATTCCAATTGATTACTAAAAATGTTTGCAAACCAAATTGCAAAAGTTCAAATAATATATTCAATGAGATTCCTAATCAGATCTTTCTATTACTTTTTTGTTACCTTCAGTACACGCTCCTTAGTTGAGTATATTATCTTTAATGATACAGTCATTAAAGATGTGCCATTTAAATAGCATTATTTCAATTACTGAAATTGGTATTTTGTTCCATTGTGATTTTTGTTAAGGATGCATAAAGATGTTTAGATCTTTAGATGTTCAGTTAGTTCAGCTTCCCATTTTTTTATAATTTTCAAAAAAAGTTTCTTTGCTTTTACTCAACACTGGACTTAAGACAGTGACATAACCTTGCATGTTTGTTCTGTTTGCTAATATTCTTTTGTTCCTCTGAACCAAACTTTTGCTTGGCCTTACATAGTTCTTGAGATTTTTGCATTTCTCATCGAGTTTATTGATAAAGGTCTGAAATTACTATATCACTATAATAGTGTATGTGTAGTGATATGGACAATTTCATATCTAATTTCTTGCTCTTAGGAAATGTGATCAGATGGTAATATTTCTTGTTTTGCGGCTTATATTTGATATATCTTTGCTATTAGAATAAGCCAAAATATTTACAGAAAGTTCTGCAATTTCTGCAAAAACTACTCAGAGGTAATAATTTTGAAAGTTAAAGTATATTCTGTATATATCATCTCTAGGTTTCCCATGTTGGCTGTTTTATTTGTGTGCCTACAGGATTTTCTAGTTTGTCCCACAAATGTCAATGTTTCTTAGATGTTTCATAATTGTATTGATTAATCTTAGTCTTCTTTTGGTAATAAAGTATCCATGGAAGACTTGTGGATCTTAGGATCACTCCTAAAAACTTTTAAAAGGCTAGATATCACAATTTACCAAATAGAGCAGAAGAATCTGAATCATCAGAAGAATTTGAATCCCCTTCTAAAGCCTGCTTTCACATTGTGTCAATATTTTCCCCTTTGATAGGCAGTCTCTAAAAATCCATGTTGTGACAACTTGGTCTACCAGGGTTGTTCTTTTGTGGTTCAGTTGCCTTATCCAATGTGCTTTTCATCTCTTCTAACTGTAGGTAGTGTCAAGCCTCTACTGGTCTATCTCTGTTCTTAATCCAGAGCAATTTCCAGGAGCAAGTTTCCATCTGATCCTGCTGCTGGGATGGGGAGTTCGGCTATTCTTCTAGTCTAGATTTTTTTTTTAACTAATGATTGTGATTTTTTTTTTGAGTATTTCTCACATAACTCTTACATTAGGTTGATTTTCAAAAAATGAAGTAGCTTGCTGAAATGTTAATGAATATTTTGGCTTGCTTCTTTCTTCCAATATTCTATTTTTTGTCATTTTAAGTAAGTCAGAGACTTTCCTGCTGAGTTTATTTTTTAAATTGACTCTTCTTTCTTAGTGACAAATAACTTGTCTTTTCAGGAAAAAAAAGCAATTCTTGTGTAAACTAATCTTCTCTGAGACATCATCCCTCTCCAGAAAGTAGTAAATACATCAGAAATATGCATCACTATTTCTAGAAAAATCCATTGATCTTCCAAAATTACAACAGAATTTGATGGACAGTGATTAGTGTGCAGTGGCTTGCTAAGGACATCCTTTTAATTATGTGTAGTGCAAGGCTGTTGATCAACAGATATCCTTAGAGAAAGAAGACATTGCTGATGGCTGCTCATAAGACTACTGCTAAATATAAATTGAAGATCCCACTGTGGAAGCAAAATTGTATAAATGTAACATCCAGTGAAGCACTTAACCAAATGTGTGGTAAAAGGCTTGAAAACAACATCATTATGTGACACAATCTGTGGCTAAAGTCTACTGCAAAAAATTTAAAATTCTCCATAGTTGATTCTGTAATGTCTTGTTTAGCCAATCCTGTTTACTTATTTGGTTTGGGTTTTAAACTTCCATTTACTATTGACTGATTCTCCTTTAATTTCCTCTGGGCTCAATTAACTCCACATTGAGAATTACATGCTGTGTTTTATTATGATGTACAACACAATTTAAATTTCCTTTGTCTGTGGGATACATGTTGATGTAAATAACACCTTCAATCTTACAGTTTAACTATATTTTTTTCCTTTGTCTTCCTGCTTCCTGTGGTGTGAGAAACAATGGGAAAGGGAACTTAGTGGCATGGTAAGTTAGTGAACCAGTCTTTCACCACTGAAGAATTAATTCCAGAATCCAGATGCAATTAAATATGGATATCTCATTTCTTAAACTATGTTAGAGAGAGAGAAAAATGGTTCTAAAATTTTGGATGCTGCATGTCAACAGTTTGAAATACAGGAAAGATGGTGTGTCTAAAAAGACTGGCTGTTCATAGCTGAGAGTTACTGTTAGTCATAGCTTGTTCTTGTGACAGGACTCAATTAGTAAGAGACTTTTCATTAGTTACAATTAAAACTTCTGTCTTCTCTGTCTCCTGGTTGTCTCCATTTAGCAAGTAAACTCTTGAAGAGAGATTGTCTTTGAGATTTTAAAATCCATAATGGTTATGATTTCAGTTGTGAATGTGAGTAGCAGAATGTGCTCTCTGATTAAGCTGCCTGATGTTTTCATGTTGTGTTTTTTATAGCCACGTACATATGTGGGTATAGGTACTTCTAAATATATGTGAAACACTTTTAAAAGGACTGCAAGATGTCTTGTGTACTCAAATTACTCTGGTGTGGTGTTTATGCTAATATTATGTTTTGTCATTCCTTGTCACTGTAAGATTGATTTGAAATTATACTTCTTTGGAAAAAGTCAACTAATGGAAGAACAGTTTCATCTTTTTTATTTTACCAAGATTGGAATTTTCTATGTTATAGCTATTTTATACTCTGGATTTAGGTACTTCATTCATTTTAAATGTACTTTTTATTGTGAATATGAAGTCTTACTTTTTCCACTTTAGCTTCTTAACTCCTCACTTTCTTCACTGTAGTCTGAATTATTTCTTGACTTCCTTCCAGTTTATTATATTCAGGTAAGTAATAACTTACAGGTTTTTTTAATAGGGTTTCTGATGCTAATTGATAAAATTTTGGATGGAATTTAGTAGATGAGTTTTGGACTATGTGAATGTCATTTAACACCTCATTTGTATTCTTACTCTGAAATTTCTATTTTTCTTTTCTAGTGTATTCCCTTTTGGCCTGAAAATGATGCCAACAAACTGCTTGTTAGAGTTGAAAATTCTGATCTCCCTCCAAAGAAGATAAATTTTGATCAGCAAGAAAGCTGTCTTTTACTGCATTTGGACAATAAGGTAACAAATTGCCTTCCATATTTAGATGTTAGGTAAAACAGCATAAATCACTTTTTTTATTTTTATTCTCAAAACTTTGTTTTCCCATGAAATCAAGTATTGCAAAACCCTAGCAGAGGAAAAGATTGTTTATACAAATACATTCTCATACTCTCTTTTTCGTGTGTGTATAAACAGATGTAAGTAGGTATTCTGTTTTAAGCACTCCTCTGGGGAGCGGTTCTACAGGAGCTAAAATACAGCTTGTTTTGCAAGTATTCTTTGTGAGAAGTACTAATATTAATTTTAAACTACCACTGAGTTGCTCTGAAAAGTAACTTTGCACTAAATTTACTTGCATTTATGTTGCAGATAGTCTCATCTAGCAGTAGTTTTTAAGTAGGTGAATGGTTTTTGAACTGTAATGTTCTTGAGGGCATGAATGTGTATGCTTGTAATAAGGAAGGTTATTCTACTACCAGTCTGACTTTTCACAGCATGGAACTCCTGCTGTGAAAAGTTTTAATTACCAAGTGTAATACCTGCTATCTAGTATTTAGATCAAGGAAATATTTTGAAGATATAGAAAAACATTTTGAAGATATAGAAAAACAGCTATTTTTATTATATGATAGTTTCGTCTTATGATGAGAGGAAAAGCTTTCAAAATATTTAAATTATATTTGCTTTGCTGAAAATTCATTCTGCTGTTACTTTATAATTTTTACAACTGATAGCTTGGATGGCATGAAGACATGTGAACTGTAATTTTGTAGTTTGTATACTGTAAGCATACATTCTCTAAAGAAGCCTGCTTTAAAGAAATGGCTCTCAAATTTTGTCAGAGCACCCAAAAATCTCTTGCTTGGTAAATTGAAGACAATGAGTTGTTAGCAATGTTATATAGTGCTAGGTAGTTCTACAAATGAGCTGTTTTGTGGCGTCTTTTTATATGAATTTTGTGGCCTTGTGACATCTACATTCCTGATGAGGGGGCAGTGGATGTAGTTTTCTCAAATTGTGCAGTGCTGACTGTGCAGAATAATTAAGGAAGGAGATATAGATAAAATCATGGGTTAAAGTTATGTGAGATGTGAGGGGGTGAGAGGTAGTTATGTAAATTTTGTCAAGCTAGGATGAAACTAAGATAATTTTAACAAATATTAGTTTTCTGCACAGAGTGAATATTTACTTCTGCACTTGCACACAGTTACTCTGTTCTCTACCTGTAATCATTTTGTAATACTTTGCCATTGTATGCAGATACTGTGCAATGCTGAGAAGTGTATACCTGCAGCATTCTACTTTTTTCTACTCTTTTTTCCCTTCAGTCAGTCAGAGCAATGTAGTTTAAAGATTTTTACTTGGAGGGTGTAAGAGTTGCTAGTCAAATCCTGTTTGCTTCCTATTTGCTTGAAGAATGATTGTTTGATTTGTTTTTTCTCTGTGAAGATTAGTAACTTTTATCTTTTCAGATGAATTGTGGGCATTCATCGTGCTAATTTAATTAGAACAGAGTACAGTATTTTGAGAGGAAGGGCCGATCATTTAATCCAACTGCCTGACCACCAGGTCTTACCAAAAGTTTAAGCATGTTATTAAGAGTATTGTCCAAGTCAAGGGCAGGGGCATCTCCTGTCTCTCAAGAAAGCCTATTCCAGTGTTTTGAAATGAAGTCTTCCTAATGTCCAGTCTGAACCTCCCCTGGCACAGCGTGGATGCAAGGGAATGGTTCAAATCACTGGATCCCAGCAAGCAGAGATCAGCATCTGTGCACTTCCTCTCCTGGGGTAGCCTCCTTTCAGAGAGCTGTTGAAGACAATTCTGCAAGTTTTTAACTGTGTGTGAGGGGGAATGGTATTTAAAACACATTTGTCTGAAAATGTTCATCACAAGGGGGTAAAGAAAATAAGTACTAGTGTATATACTTCATATATGCCTATTTTAAAGTACACTTTTTTGTATTTAAGTATTTATATAAAATGCATATAAAAGTATGTATTTTAAATCTTCATTCTTATTACTGAGAATGTTCTGAGAATGTTTTTGTGCATGTTTTTTCATGCATAATGTTGTTTTTTGTTCTATTTTCATTACTTGAAAATATAATCAGTGTTCTTGTTGAAATGCTAGAATGCAAAGGTCACCAACACAAAATATTCACTGATATTTTTAAATTTAAAATTACTTTGTTCTAGCTCCCTCAGTGAATTGGAAGACTGCCTTCAGCCAAATAAGGCAGTGTTGTATACTTGGGCAGACCCAACAGGATCTAGGAAATTGAAATGGAGATGTGGAAATAGAACTGAGGAAATTTCCCCAAAAGAGGTATGTTTTTTTATCAACACCTCATTTTAATGAAGTCTACTTTTATATTTATATTCCATTCATCAGTGTATGCATTAAATTTTGTATTTAATGAGTATGATCAGCAGTCTCATATATGAGTTCCAGTCACAGAATGGTAACAATGCTTTGTTTGCCAGAGCTTGTGCCAGTAAGCAGTCTTCAGCTGAATAGTGTCTGTGTGTGTGGTGAGAGGCTGTCAGAAGGCTTTGTCATTACTTTTTTCCCCTGTACCTTAAAATATGTCTTCCATTGCTGTGTCGCTAAGACTCCAGCATTTTTTTGTGAAATAGAATGATTAATAGAGTTGTAAAAACTTTTCCTGTCTTGTTTATAGGACAAGATGGAAATACTCAGTGTGGATTCTAGAAAAGCGGTCTATTTAATGTCGTTTTATGAAGGTTTGCAGCGTATTGTCCTCATCACTGAAGACGAGAATGTATTTAAATTGACATATGAAAGCGTAAAAGCAGAACTAGCAGAACAAGAAATTGTTCTGTCTTTGCAAGATGTTGGAATTTCATTGGTTAATAATTACACAAAACAGGAGGTGTCCTACATTGGAATTACAAGGTAACTTACTTTGTGTGCAACAATCTAAAATGTTTAGCTTCAGGTACTTTCACTCCGTGAATTTCATTTTGGCTTGTGCTGAAAGAGCAAAAAGAGGTCTGGGTTAATAATATCAAACCCAGTCACTATATTTTCTGGCTGTCAAGAGATATGTTTTCACTGTGTTTTGTAATGCATATGCTAACTGTGTTTAGATGCATGTGATTTTGGAACATATATTTGTAATTCTGTGTGGCAGACTTCCTTGAACAGAAAATACTTCCTGTCCATGTAGTTTGAGAAGTGATAATAGAGTTTTTTAAGAAGTACAGTCTGTAAATAGTTTGTGGCAGTGGGTTTTGTTGTCTTCACTACAGAAACAGCTGAATTCTGCATTGGAAATTTTGATGCAAAAGCTTGTAGGTCCCTTTATTTTGGTTGATTAATTTTGGTTGATTAATTATGGTGATCCAGGGCCTTACTGCTTGGATGTCCTACTATAACATTTCAAAGGGAAGTAGAAAAGAAATTGTGTAATACTTCAGAAATGTGTGCCATCATATATTTGGACAGGAGCTCTTTGCAATCATCAAGGGACTCTTGAATATAATTGCCATAATCCACACACTTGTTTTTATTCACATTTATGAGGTTGACAGAGTGAGAATTGTTTTTATCTTGATTAGTCCTTTGCACTCTACTGAAAAACAAACAAGTGTGAACTTTTCATACACATAGGCTTCACTTAATCACATCCATCATTTACTAAGAAAATTCCAGTCCTTGCCCTCACCTGAGAAACTGTGCTCTGGTATTTAGACAATGGAAACACTCCATTAAATGTGGCAGGTAATTGCCAAGATTCACAGTAGTATTGAGATTTCACTGAATTGGTTTTTCTTTGAAAGCAGTCATCCATAGTCATTAGTCTAGAAGTGCTTATAGTAAGTTTTGTTTTCTTGTCAAACCCTGTTGAGGTGTTAAACTTCTTGAAAATGGATGGCCATACTGATGAAATTGGCTTCTTTTTTTTAGGAGCAGCAAAAAACCCCACAACCCAAAAACAAAACCAGAAAAAGTGGAAAGAAAAAAAAAAGGGGGAAACTCTCAGCAATCAAGATAGTAATCATTTTTGTAGTTGTTTTTTTATTGTTTTGAGCTTCAGCTAACCTTTTTTTTCCTACCATTAATATGTCTCAACACAGACACAGATATAGCTAAAAGAGGTTAGGTGGTTGTGTCTGGAAAGCTACATATTTGTAGGCAATAGTTTATATGCTTTTTATATGCTTTTTATAAAAGTTTATATACATGTAAGTTTATATACATAATTTATGGGCTATAATTTATGGAAAGAAGTACCTTCTGCCTGCCTGATGGTGTTGGTTTGTGCCCTATTTTGTGCTTTATGTTTGACTATAAGGTGAAATCAGACACAGAGTTTCTCACAGAAGCAGTGGGAAAAAGTCAAATGCCCTTTAAGGTTGATGAATTATTTGCATTAATAAAACTGAGGGACAGAAGAAAGGATACATTTCAAAAAAACCAAACAGAAACAAACCTAAAATTCTCACCATGAAATCAGTAGAGGAAGCATGTAAAAGAAAATCAACACTTACTGGTTTTAGATGGAAAGACTAAATAAATAAGCTGTCAAAAATAATATGCAAAAATAAATGCAGGAGGCATTTTGTCTTGACTTGAACATTTTAATTTCTAGTAAATTTAAAATGCCAAAATAAATGCAAGACTATAAGCAGAAAACATCATTGAGATTGTAGAACAATGGATGGCAGTACTGTTGAAATTGAGCTTCCTTGAGTATCGCTACATAACCATTTTCATCAAAGTGGGGATTTATACACAGGCTTGTTAAATTTCTTTTTCCCCATCATATTGGAGAGACTGGCTTCTGCTTAGTGGCAAGAGGGCAGTGCATGATTCGGGTGGCTTATTTGCTACAGTAGTGCTTGATGTTGTGGTTTCTCATTCCCTAGTTACAACCTGTTAAAAGTCACACTAAAGTAGGTGTGGTTTTGAAAACTTGTTTTCAAAAAGCTAATCCTTCTGTTTTGGTTCTTTGTTTTGCTTTCAAAGTTCTGATGTGGTGTGGGAGACAAAACCCAAGAAGAAGTCAAGATGGAGACCAATGAGTGTTAAGCAAATTGAAAAATTAGAACAAGAATTCAGAGATTACAATGAGCTAAGTCCTTCAGAAAATAAGATCATTGAGTTGGAATCTAATGTTTTGGTAATACTGATAGCTCTCTAATTCTATTGCTTATGTGTATGCACAAGAAAGAGATAATATATCAATTTTGCTGTCTTTGATAAAACTTACGGTGAAATTTGAGATTATTGATTTACCTACTCCATTTGAAAACATTTCTTTACCTCTGTATTAAAAAAAATGCAGGAAAAAAATCCATAAACTTTTGATATCTTGGTACAGACTTTTTGTTAGTGCCTGGAGGTGTAACATTTTTGTAGGTGGTAGTGCTAAATATGTGTTAAACTCCAGTAAGGAAGCTTTGCATTTGGTTCATATATTGTATCAGTAAATGTGTTAGCAGTTTGGGGTTGGTTTGTTTGTTTTAGCCTGAAATCCAATATTTTTAAAACGGCTTATTGTGGAATGATTTAGCTGTCATTCAGTCCCGTAAAACTGAAAAAGAAATTGCAGATGGAATGTAGAGGCACATTATGCTCCAAATGCTCGGTCCTTGTTAATGGATAAATTCTAGACACTCCTTAGAAATGTGCTGTAGGTAAATAAACATTGGATAGCTAAATGATCAAATTTTTATTTCAGTCGTAGTCCATTACACTGTGCAGCTTTTCCTCTAGATAGCTATGTATTAAATGACAGTAACCCCCAAATAAAGCACTATTTTGTAGTTTCATTTCTATTGAAATTTATGGGCAAAATTTGTTTGCTTTAAATAAAGGAAAATTTTGGCATCTAACGTAAAAGCTGCAGAACTTTTACTGCTGAGGTTTACAATATTTGTGAATATTGTAAATTTTAAAGTATATTATATAAAGCAGTATTTTAGAACATACTTGACATAGAACTCAACATACCAAATTTTCTTTAATAATAGGTATGTTTAACTCCTAATGGAGTGAACATGAAGATTCAACAGCCAAATGAGATTCCTATCAGAAGAAATTATCTGCCAGCTTTGAAAGTGGAGTACAGTTCCTCTGCACATCAGAAGTCTTTCAGAATTCAAATTTACAGGATACAAGTGAGTCATATCGAAAAGTAGTTGTTATTTATTCAGAAAGAACATTTATGGAAACTTGGGTTCATTTCTAGAATTGGAATTGGATTTCTCATGTTCTCAATTGTAATCATTGGCTTTTACATCAGTGCTTCTCAGTCTTTGAAAATACTACTTAAGTACTTCTTGGAAAAAAAGGAAGACAACTATGACTGTTCTGAAAGAAATACTTGGCATTCATCTTACTTGCTTTTTCTTGGAGCATTTCTGTTTATCAAGCAAAAAGAGAGGTGAAATTTCTTGTTTTGCTATGCTCAAGATTTTCAAAACAAATCCTTTGCAAAAGTTTTGTGGACCATTTATTAGTACCAATTTGAAGAAACATTTCTAAATTATTAGAATTGGATTATTAGATTTTGAAAATCAATACATTTTAAATACAGTAGTGGCTTTTTTCTGCTTTTGTATTGGTGGAAGGCCACAGGTAATGATCATATCGGAGTTTGTCCTGATTTTAAAATATTTCACTATTGAAAAGCTAATGTGCTGCACCTTGTCCTGTCCTTACCCCTACTAGATACAAAACCAGATTCCTGGAGCCATATTTCCCTTTGTGTTCTACCCTATTAAACCTCCAAAGTCCATCACCTTGGATTCAGGTTTGTTCTAGTTTAACATAATCCTTCCTTTTAAAACAGTAAGATAACTTGCTTGTACCGAAGTTAACCATCACTTTCATCAGGTGAAGTCTGCATGACTTTTCTGACTACAGATAGTACACATAATAATGGTAGAAGTACCATATAGGTACCTGTACAAAGAAGATACACAGAAAACCATTTCAACATTTAACAGTTTATAGAAAAGAGGAAAACATCTTTTATTTGTCATTATCATACCTTTTAAGAGCATCTTTTTGGCACATTACTAAGTTGATTTTGGCAACATATAACATCAAACTTATATAAGCTTAAAAGGAGGTTTTCAGTTCAGGCCACCACTAAAATTTAATGCTGGCTAATACATGAGAAGACTTGGCTGTTCATAAGATGAGTCTTGTTAATTTTGATGGTAGTGAATCTGTTGCACTTTTTCTGTGCTACTTGCATTTGGAGTTTTGGGGCAGTGAGGGGACTTACTTGCCATCCTTAGTCTCCCACTATTTTCCTACTGCTCCAGTGTCATGGAATTAATGACCTAGTAACCTGTCTGAAGTAATCTTAACTAGTAAGAAAAGAAATGTGCCTAAGCTAAAAGTTGTTAAATGAGGCACCATTTATAAGCTCTCCAGATGGTAAATTATATTTTGTATGGTTTATGTATGCTTTCTCCATTGCTTGGAGCATAGAGCTCAATATCATTATACTGTGTGATGAACTGGAGTCTTTTATTAATTTTTTCGTGCGAAAGTCACTTGGAAAATCTAAGTAATATCAAAAGAATTCATGTTGAGACAAAGAATACTGTTTGCAATTTTATTCAGAAGCTAGTAGGATGTCATGTGTTCATTCTAAATATGACTGATTTTAAGCTACAGTGCATGAATCTGCAGAATTCTTTTTTGTTTAATTTACAGTTTTGTATCAGCCACTGGAAAATTTAATTCCACGATTAAGTAAATGATATAAATCTAATATTATATCAATATTAATTTGCTTTTAAATGAAAATGGCACATTTCCAATTAAATATCATTTTGATGTTCCATTTCATCCATGTCTTCCTATTACTTTCTGTTCCTGCTCTTTTCCCTGTCTTAGCTGTTCGCCAGTCATATCCATTATGTAATCCTGTTGTGCAGGATTAAGAAAACCCTGAATGTATATGACATTTTCATAAAAAAACTTACAAAGTCTTACATATATCATGTAACAATCTGTGCTGATCTCTTTTTATTTGACAACTTCATAGCACCAAAACCATTTACTGATGTCAGTATTGTCATGAGAACTGCTGGACACTCACAGATATCTCATATTAAGTAAGTATTTTGACATGTTCCATCTCAGTTACTATTGGATATATTTAATCAAGCTTTAAAATTAATATTATTATAGAGACAAACATAATGAAAGGTAATATTAACACAAACTCAGTCTTGGAAACTCAGAGCATTTTAACAGAGATGAAAGCTGTGTCCTTTATTATCCACATAATTGAAGAGTAAAGCAAGGATTTTTAGATGTCTTTTTAATTCATATTTTTAGTCATCTTTATTTAGAAAAAATGTATATACTGTTGTTATATACAGTGTTAAATGCTGCTATGTATTTAAAATTCTTCTGATTACTTGGAAATGTGTTTATCTTAAGTGGGAAGCCTTCTTTTCATCAGCAGTGATGAATCCCTCAAAAAAAAACCACAAAAAAAATGAAAGAAGAAAACCAACAACAAAATACAAACACACACACAAAACAACCACCCAAAACCCCAAAACAAAAACCCACAGCAAAAAAACCCCACCAAAACCAGTACCTGACGTTGTGTAAGTGGTCTAAATACTCTATACTAAGCTTTAACTGTTAAACATTTTTGTAGAACACCTTAATAATTACTTTTTGTTTCATGTGTAGGTATTTTAAGGTTCTGATTCAAGAGATGGATCTCAGATTAGATCTTGGCTTCCTGTATGCAATTGGTGAATTCTTTACCCAGACTGATGTGCCAAGTGACCAAGAGGTAGAAACCTTTAGTTGTTTGAAGATGTTGTAAGTTTGTAGTTGTAAGAAGATTCTGAATTTTGAACTATTCAACTTGTATTTGAAAAAAAATTAAAAATTATTTTCTAGGTCCACATCAATGATTAATTTCTGTGTATCTGGGAATAATATGAAGCTATGAGGTTTTTAATTACTGTTGGCTGAAACAGTGACTCCTTCCTTTATGCTCTTCTTGTATGCTATGCAAAGAAGTCTTTAAACCTTACGGTATAGGGACAATGAGAGGAATTTGAACATAGGAGGAGATAATTATTTATTGTATCAGTGAAATTTGTATTATAATTATTTATTATAATTAATTTATTGTATCAGTGAAAAATGACTAGTAGTTTTAAGTACTCTAAATTTTGAAGTGATATCTTTTTCAAATACGTTTACAGCTACAACTTTTCAAAAAGGATGTTGAATCTCTTCAAGAAGAACTAATGAGTGTGTCATCAATGGATACATCACAAATCAGCTTGTATGAATACTTTCATATCTCTCCAATTAAGGTATTCCTTTTTCAGATTACAGACTGAGTTTGCTCTCTGAAAATTTTTGGAGTGCGGGATAGTAGGCTCTGGAAATAAAGATTGGAACAGCTAATTGAAAAAAAAGGTGCCAAGAAAGTATTTCCATTGTTACCACTAACTTACTATTGCATTCCTATGGCTTTCCTTATGACTAATTTTTTTTTTTTTTTCATTTTATTATTTAAGAGTTCCTTGCAAAATGCTCTGGTTTATGTGCACACAGTGTATTATGGATTGGAGAATGACATAATTTCTAAAAAAACCATACGTAACCAGGGTAGGAGATTAGTGTGTAGCTGACATTATTACAGCTGTAATAGGAATTCAAGGTCTCTGTAACAGTTCTTAAGAGAGTCTCTCATCTATCCATGGGAAGTAGATCAAAGAATGATTTGAGTTTCACCTTTTGGCAGTATCTTGTGAGATGTTAGAAATTATATTTGACAAGGAAAATTGCGGGGAGGAAATAGGAGGGAATAAATGGGCTTGAGGTTTTAGTGAAAGATTAGTTGTCTTTAATCATTATGTGTTGAATGATAATGATTCTGCAAGGTGAGCTGAATGTATCACTGAAATGTCGTGTAGTTACGCTCTTCTATAGCATAATGAATGTCGTGTGATATTGTCTTCAGAGAATCAGAAATAGGCATAACTTCCTTTAATCTGATTTTGAAAACTGCTGGATAGATTTGTACTGTTTTGTGCTATGAAAGCCATTTGAGCAATTTTCCTCAATGTTGTTCTGTTCTGATTTCTTTGAAACAAATGCCTTGGTTATTTCAGGTAGGTGTACAGGTAGGATTTATGTGTGTATTTGGCACCTGCAAAACTGGTATTAGTAATTATTTGTTATCAAGCTTTTGTTACATTCTTGCTTGGACAATGTACTTTGTTGTCATTTCTGTCTGCTTTGATTTTGGGTATAAATTAGAGAAACTAAATGTTATAAAAATGAGTTAATAATCTAAATTATAGCTAAAAGAATCCAGAAACCTCTTATGAAAACATAAGTAAGCAATTTCAAGTTCTTGTTTTCTTAAGGGTAGTTCAGATTCTTCACTTTGGCTTTAAATGTCAGTGGGCTTTTTTTTGGCCTACATTGTGTATTTGTATATTCTGTTACAAAGTCAGACTGGTTTCAGTCAGACTGAAAATGTCTTAACTCAATTTTTAAATCATCGAAAAAATTATAAAGATAGAAATACCATGTATCTAACAACTAACCATGTTATTTCCCAATCTCATTTTTATCCCTCAGTTACACTTGAGCTTTTCACTCAGTACGGGTGGAGAAGATAGTAACAAAGAAGAGAGAAAGAATGAATTGATACCATTTCAGTCCTTGAATCTCCTGCTGAAGAGTATAGGGGCCACCCTTACAGATGTACAAGATATTGTCTTTAAGTAGGTTAAAAATATGAATGTAAAAAGCACTCTCAAAGTTTATATCATTATTACATCTGTTAGGCTTTACTTCATTCTGCATAGTAAGGATTTACTTCTTCTCTCTTATCTTTTTTTTAGGTTGGCATTCTTTGAGCTCAGGTATCACTTCTGTACTACACAGCAGCTCCAGTCAGCAGTTGTAAGGCATTATTCAAAACAGGTGAGAATAAGAAAATATCAATATCCCAATAAATTCCTATTTTGAAAGTGCTACTGTGCACTTCGATTCTATTAAGCTAATAAAATTACTTTCATTCTTGAATCAATGTACAAAGGTTAAATAAATTCATACAAACCAATTACTCATTGAAAGAATTTTATTGCCTTGCCAAATGGCATGATAACAAAACAGCTTGCTGGAATAGATAGGGGAAGCAAACATGATGGAGTTCTGATAGAACATGATTGGCATTAAAATACTAATGCATTTTCTTGGACATTAATACTATATGAGTCATAATAGTTCTTTCTTGGCTTTTGTGTATTGTTGAAAGTCCTGTCATCCAGTGAAGAGAATCCAACAAAAATACTTCTGCATAAGATAATTAGTCCTCTTCTATCCATCCATCATGAATAATAAGGGACTACTGAAATGGTTTTAATTACTGTTGTTTCTTGCCTGACATAAAATGGTTTACTCACTGATTTTCTTATCTTTTTAGTACAACTGTTTTTACTTTTCTGCACAATTTTGGGGTTTTTATATTGAACTCAAGTTTTTTTCCCTGTTTTAATCTAAGATCCTACACTGTTTGCCTTTAAGTGTAATGTAGGAAATATTTTCACTAATAACTATTTTCATTTTAGGCTATTAAACAGATGTATATTCTTATTCTTGGCCTTGATGTGTTGGGTAATCCATTTGGATTCATAAGAGGCTTGTCTGAAGGAGTAGAAGCTTTCTTCTATGAACCATACCAGGTAAAATTCTCTTCTGCCCTTTTAAGAGTAGATAGATATGCACTGTATTGGAAATCTACATTGACACCTTTTTTGGTTTTAAATTTAGATTTAGAATTGAAAATTTCAAGTGAAATGCCTGGAAAACACAAGTGACATTAAAAAGGGCAGAGAAGTCTATTCAACTTAACTTCCAAAAGGCCGTTACAGTTCATACCTTAAAATAAATCTTTCTCTACTTCTTAAAATAAGCAGACTTCAGGGAATTAATTAGCATTCTAAAATTGTCTATCTTCCTGTCACAGGAGCTTTTGCGGGTGCTTTCACACTTTATCACTCAATGTCAACCTGTTTTCCTCTTTGTTACATATAAATCCCAATAAAAATGGAAGACTAAAAAATACATAATGCATATATTCAAAGGTCATCATGAATGTAATATTTTTTTCTCATAGGGAGCCATCCAGGGTCCTGAGGAATTTATAGAAGGCATGGCCCTAGGACTTAAAGCACTGGTAGGGGGAGCTGTTGGTAAGTTTCAGCACTGTGATGGTAGTTTTCCTAACAATAGAGGTAAGTATTTGTAAATTGCATTGGAATTTTAATTTGGTTTGTATTCCTATAGGTGGATTAGCGGGAGCTGCCTCAAGAATCACAGGTGCTATGGCAAAAGGAGTCGCTGCAATAACTATGGATGAGGATTACCAGCAAAAAAGGAGAGAAGCCATGAATAAACAACCCACTGGTCTGAGAGAGGGTATCACTCGTGGTGGAAAAGGACTAGTTTCTGTAAGGAGGAAAACAAAAAATTAATTAATTTTATGCAGGCAAGAGTACCAGGCGCTTGCTGTGCTCACCAGAAGGTTGTTGGTTTTCAATTTTTTTAGTTAGTTTTTTGTTTCTTAATTTTAATTTTGGTTTTTTGCAGGTATAGAGCTACAATTGAGTGATAGTTTTACAGAAAAATGCAGGAGGATAGAAAAGAAGATAGAAACTGTGAAGCAAGTGCCTCTGATTCTCTTAGCTTATAGTGAATTCTAGAATACTTCCAACACATGTACTTTGAGGCTATTCACCAATGAAGTAGGAAGAAAAATGTTAAAAATGAAAAATACTACATGGAAGCATGTTTGTAATGTCTGTTTTGTTTATCTTGGTAGGGTTTTGTAAGTGGCATAACAGGAATAGTTACAAAACCAATAAGAGGTAAGTTTGGTGCATTAACTTGATGCATTAAGTGTTCGCATGATGGTAAATTTTTGATATTTGATGACATGTTTTCTATCAGAGTTATAAAACTCTTTGTCAAGATTTTATATTCCTACTGACTTACAGTTTAAATGTTGTCTACATGAACTTTGTGTGGAGACTACGTAGTTGTATATCAAATAAAATTTGTAATTAAGTGGTTATAAAATTTATTAATATTTTAAGAAAAACACTGTGGTGTATAATGATTTACTGCTTTTAATGCTTTTAGGAGCTCAGGAAGAAGGAGCAGCTGGTTTTTTCAAAGGTGTTGGAAAAGGCTTAGTGGGAGCAGTAGCTAGGCCCACTGGTGGAATCATAGATATGGCAAGCAGCACATTTCAGGGTATTAAAAAGTAAGTAAAATAAATGTACAGAGTATCATATGGCATGAAAGCGACAATACTAGTAGTACCTTGTGTCTTTGTATCACTTCTGTGTTATTTACATAACAAATAGGTGGCTCTTTAAAAAAATACACACTTGATATAATTTTAAAAACACAGACACAAATCTTAGATATCTCTTTAAAAAAATACACACTTGATATAATTTTAAAAACACAGACACAAATCTTAGATATTTCTGGCATTACTGAAAAAACTAGTTTAAATATCTCAGCAATCAGAATTTCTTCAGCTGATGATTTTTAACTTTTACCCCAAATAAGCAGGGAAAATAAGCAGGGAAAAAAGAACTTCTCAGATGTGATGGAAGTTACTTTATATATTACTACTACTTTATGAGATGAGTTCCAAGACCTATGAGTTCCTAGATTATGCCAGTCTCTATGTTAAGAGTGCGTTTAAATACTGTGTTAGTGTCACTTTAATAAATTCATTGTTTATTGGTGTAAAAAACATGCTCACGGTGAGAGACTTCTCCAGGGTCAGGCTGTTCAGGGATAAGCAGTTTATTATTTAGGTAGAGGGTGGAAGAGATCCATTTACACTTCCAACCGTAGTGTAAGCATGCTCAGAGAGGGAGAGAGAGAGTGGAGAGATGAGTCGAGGAGCATGAGGGAAGAAGGTAATTAAAGGGGTAGAGAGATAGGTAAGAGCGGGGAGTAAGAGAGGAAGTTAAGAGAGGGGAAGAGAGCAAGTTAAGAGATTGAGAGGAGCGGGTAAGAGCAGAGCGGAGGAGTTAAGAGAGTAAGAGACAAGCAAGTAAGAGAGTAGGAAGAGGTAAGAGGAGGGAATAAGAGGTTGAGAGAAGAGAGTAGAAGGGAATTAGAGAGGAGCAGAAGTTGAGAGAGTGCAGACGAAGTTAAGAGAAGTAAGTAAGAGAATGAAGTTCTTGTTAATACATTATATCTTTTTCTATGGTGAATATTCTAATTCTTAGTGACCAACCAGTATATGACACACATTCTATAGAATTTACATATAGCCTATAAGAAATACTACATTACCATGCAGTGTTACATTTTAAACTCTAAAAGCTACTCTTGAAATTCTTCTCTTGCTGCTTGACCTTTGGATTCACTATCAGCAGAAGGATATTGTTTAATCAACAGGGACTATCCTTCAGCTGGCTAGGCTATTGTTCTTTGGTTATATAGTAACTAGTACTCAGTACCCTATAGCTCAAAGCTAGTTTTCAAATCTGTTTCAATCCTAGGTTTCATGTTTTCATAATCTTTTGCCAAACAATCATATTCGTAAGGTTTCCCTGTTTCATCTTCCCCAACAGTTGTTGAAGATAATCTCACACTGTTATAGGCAGTGGAGGAGGAGACAGTGTTTTGAAGACGTGCTTAGTGACTTTAGATACAATTGTTCAATGGCCCTGTTCTTAGTGATTTGGATCACTTCTGTTACCATAAGAATGCCCGTCTCTTGTTTTCCTGTTAAAGTTCTTTAGCAGAGAAATGCAAGAAAAATATCAGAGTGAAGTTTCTATATGGCAACAGTTGTCTTTACTTTTGAAGTACTGAAGTGCAGCAGTTAGACACTAATTAAGCATTAGCAGGCATGTGCTGCTCTGTGCCATCTAATTTGATAATAGTGATTCTCGGAAATAGATTTCTGATGTAATGTCTGTTACTATGCAAAAGTGCATATATAGACAATGATAGTTTTTGCACGAGTACTTCAATTTAATTTATATACAAAATAATTTAGTTCCTTAGCTAAATAGTATAGTTGAGTAGAGATCTTGACATGTATCTTAAATTTTCTGCTTTGTCAGGGTTGCAGATTCATCAGAAGATGTGATAAGCCTGCGCCCACCTCGCTTCTTTGGTGAAGATGGAGTTATTAGACCTTACAGGTTAAGAGATGGAACTGGAAGTCAAATGTTACAGGTGAAGAAAATGAAAGATAAATTTTAGACATACATTTAAACTCATCTTACATAGAAATAAATACTTTAGAATTTCCCACTTCTTAAATTCCCATTCACTTCTTACCGTGTCACTCAGTTTCTTAGGCATGTAACCACATTGGGGATTTGGCTGCTGTGATACAACTTTGAGGAAGACAACATAAAGCAAATCAGTATATCTATAAAAGTTTATGCACAGAGAATTCTGAAAAAAGAGAAAGGTTTATATGTGCAAATGAAAAGTTTTCTGCCTTTAAATGTTTTTTTTGTGAAAAGTGTTGATAAATACACAGTTTTTTCAGTAATTTTATAATACATAGCTTAAACAGTGACTTTTAAGTCTCAATTTTATGTAAAACAGCATAAAACAGATAGAAATAGTTGTATTTATGTCATACTGAAGCCATTGAAAGAGCATAAGCAGTTCTGAAGTGGAATAGTGTTTGCAGGAAGTATATGCTGAGCAGCACTTACTTTTTAATGATTCATCTGCCATTTAAACAAATTTGACTCAAAAAATTCCCCTCAGAAAGGAAATAATTTCAGTTGTGACGCACACAGCTTTCTGAGTTTCTGGGTTTTTTTCCTTTTGTTAGAAATAAAATTTCTTTCTAGAAATGTTCAACCATAACAAATAAAGTAGTAATTAGTGTTTGCATAAATTTGAACAGAATTTGAAAAATACACATGGGAGGTTTCACAGTGTGCCATGAAAATGTCATACTAGAATAACCTTTCTGGAGAAGTAGATAAGAATAAAGTTGCCTTTGGGGAGAGCATTTTATGACTCATTTTGATTATTGCCACAGCTGTTTGTTCCATGTTGAGTTCCATTCTTGTTTCTGTTTCTCCTGCATTTCATTCATTTGTCATTCATTTTCTGGTAGAACAGGATTGATCTGTTGGGGGCCCCTTAGCTATATTCATTGTTTCATTCACTGGTGATGTAGTTCAGCAGACTGTGAAAATGCTTTGATAATAAACAGTGTACCTGTGCCTTTCTTGTAATGAGATGGCTTTAACCTGGCTCTCCAGTTTATAACTGGAGTTATAAAGCGTTATTGTCTTAACTACCCTCTACTCTCTGGTAGTTAGAAGCTACTACTGACGGACAGCATAAAGTTATTGCTAATCTTTATCCTCTTTTTGTTAAGAAAATAAATTTTAAACATCCCCGTGTCTGTTTTTAAGTGTATTACTAAAACAAATGCCAGCGAAGAGTCAGCTCTAATGAGCTGACTTTACATTGCTTTTGCTTCTTAAATTTGTACATTTTTGTATTTTGTGGTTTTTTTCTGAGGAACCTTTACAAAAATCTGCCATGTAACATGTTATTCTAATTTTTCTGTATTGTATGGCTGAGTACAGTACCTTCCACTATCCAACTTAAGAACCACTAAGGTGTGGCCTTGTGTAATGCCTTTGATGTTTTGTGATGGGAGCCACCATTTTAAAGTAGCTAAAACTGAAGAATTGTTAGCTTCATATTAGTTTTTGCTATTAATGATTCTAAAGCATAATACTCCTGAAGAAATACTTTCAAAGCTCCAAACAGAGTAGACAGTCAAATCAGAAAACAGAGATTTGCATATTTTTTCTCCCTCAGGCATTAAATTCTGCTTTAGGATACTTGGTGTCTTAATTTAACAGTTAAATATACTACTGGTTTTGGTTCTTAATGTTTGTGGTTCTAGGGCTGTTAATTTGTTTTTGCATGAGACTCAGTGTATTGCATGTCCACTATTGAAAGAGTTTGAATAGAATAATATTTTCTTATGGATAAAAAGATTCCTTTCCCCTTTTGCAATCCTTCTTTGCATACAGATGAGGTGTCTGTCCCATTGTGGTCGCTGTATTGTAGCTTTTCAACAGATTACAGGATTAAGTTGGAATAAAACTTCTTTTGGCGATTTAGAGATTTTATATGATGATCAAAGGAAATAAGATATAGGTTATTTTGTATGCTCATACTGTGCCCTAAACTTAGGATGTCACTTCAGAATTTCTTTGTTTTCTGTGATTTTATATTAATTAACAAACTTGCCAGGCAAACTAGTACTTTTAAACTAATGCTTCTGCTTTCTTTTTCCCTTACCATGCTTTCAGAAAAGGCAGGCCTACAAAGAGTGGACTGTGGCTCACAGTAGTAGTGATGATGATGACAGTTAGGATAATGTGGACTGTAACAGATATACATGGCCTTTGTCACATTCTTTTGACCTTTAAGTTTTAAATGTTGCTGCTATAATTCCTGCTGAGAAAACGGGGTTTTGTGATACTAAATTCTTACTTTTTAAACTGTGAAAAAAAAATGTGGGGATAATAAACTGTATGATGATGAGTGCTAGGCAAACAAGCAAATAATATAATAAATATAGTCTTACAGATAAAACCAGACATTAGGTAAAATAGTATTGAATATGAAGAAATAAGTAATACCATGACTTAGAGTTTATTTCCAGATGTATTTTTATCAGCTGTGTTTAATGTTTTTTGCATTTATATAAGTGTTTAACAGGGTAATTTACTATTGCTTTTAATGTGCTGAGTAAAACTTTATTGATTTGTACAGTCCTTATTGGTGTTAAAATGCTGTTTGACTGTTTTTTCAATTACTATTTCAAAAGTATTTTGTCTGCTTTTCTTCTTTACAATAAACATGTCTAAAGTATATCTAAAATGGATTCATCTGTTCTGTTCCAACATTGTTTCTCATGTTTCCTGAAACTAGATAGTGTAAGAACACTAAATGGCTTATAAAGGTATTGAATAGGTAAAATACATATGTTTTTCAAGAATTGTTATCATAAACCTTTAATTTTTCATTTATCACTTGCTTTACCATGATTTTTTTATACTCATTTGTGTATCTTTTGGTATCCTTAAGCATGTGAAATAAGAGTTTATTTTGTTTTTTATTTTGACTATAAATTATTAATTCTGTAAGTCAACATTTTTACTTTCATAACAACAAAAAAAGTAAAAAATCCGCCCCAGAACTAACCTCCGTGTAAAAACCACAGGCAGATGTAAAAAAATACTAGTAGTTATTCAAGCCACTGTGTAATAAAACATATGTAATATGCAGACGTATTTAGTTTCTTATTTACCTAGATGTGGGGGGTGAGGGGAAAGTGTCAACACTGATCAACTACAATTTGATGCTATAAATTCTACCAAATACCTTTACAAGTTACTGGTTTCTTAAAAGAAATATTCATTCCATATTCACTGAAATGCTTGCAAAATTTTATCGTTCTTTTTTTGTGGTTTGTTACTAAATTCAGATTTTTGTGTTGCACTTCAAAGTTTTTCTTGTAATAGATAATTTGGTACCAGTAAGTATTATAATGAGAATTAATTCTTCTGCCACCATTTGAACAGTCAGCATTGCTCTAAAACAATAAGAACTTCTGAAATGTTAGCATGTTTAATGAAGTAATATTACGTCTTTCATTGTCTGTTGGATTCCATTTATCAAAATTTGGGGGAAAAACCATTAAAATTGTCAAGGCTGCTTACTCTGGCCCTGTGCATTCAAAAACTGCTGCATAGGGTGATCTCTTGGGCTTTGTCTTTAGTGTCATGGAGACAAAGGGGGACAAACAAAATTTGGGAGATGGTTGTAGCTGAAATTGCTGATGCTTTTGATTGCTACAGGTCATGTGTTGCTATTAGTTTTGTAATGGTGTCACCTCAAAGAGATGCCTTTCAGAATCAGATGAAAGGCTGTATTGCAGTGTGTTACTGCCTGAAACACTGGGGGAACGTTGAATGTTTCAGGTACAAATTGATCTCTCATATTTCTTTGAAGAGCGTAGGAAATCATCTTGCTCTTCAGTTTTGGAAAAAGACACATGATACCAAAAAGTTGGAGAAATCGTTACATATAATGGAAAGGTGACTGTGACATTTAGTTAACTTCACTGGGTTTTGAAAATTCAGAATAATGTTACTTAACATTATCTTTTTCCTTTGTGCTTTTTTATTGCAATTTCTTTTTTTATCCTATAAAATAGTTTTTCTTTTTCTAGTCTTTTCTAGAAAAAATGCATTTTTATGGGAACTTTATGAGAAAAACAGTTCGTCCGTAGAAGATTCTAATTCTTCCTCAATCTTTATAAAAAATTGACCTGGTTTTTAATTTTTTTTTTTTACTTGAAATCCTACAAATTTATGCAGAACATGGAGGTGAAATTAAGCATGAATGATAATATTACTGGGTCAGATATTACTAATTCAAGTTACACCACAGTGTAATTTGTGAAAGAATTCATTCTTTACTTGCTAGATTAAGAAGTTATAGAATGCAAACTAAGGAAAAAAAAAAAAAAAAAGCCTAACAAAACTAACAAATTTTGCTAGCTGGAGCTGGCAGATATGATTTTATGCTGTAGAATATTTTGTCTCTTTGGTGGCATATAATTATGTTTTTCTATTTTTGGAGTTTTTGTGTTAATGGAAAAGATAGTAGTTTTGTACAAGTATTTTACTTGTTTCTCTCTTGAGTCAAGGCTTCTCTGAATATATCTGGAAAAAGGAATAAATTGGACCTGGGGATATGGGATAACAAAAAATTTCACTATTTGGGATATTAGTACTTAATTTTTCTTTAGGTCATGGGACAAAAAGCTGTGAAAACTAATAGCAGAAACTGATGTTCTTTCAGGATGGGAAAAAAAAACCCAAACCAAAACAAAAACTCCAAAACATTTAGAGATTATTTTCTTTAGGGATTTAAAATAACAGCAAAAAAAAGAGACCATATTTTCAATTTTTTTTTTTCTTCAATTTTAAATATTTTAACAGTTTAACTTCACTCTTCATAATCCCCCCATCCCATCCCTTTTTAAATGCTGAATTGAATTTGAAGTCCAGTACTCTCCCTGAAAATTTGAGATCTAAGTACCCTCCTTATATCTCAGATATGCTAAATCTTTTGCTAAAATTTTTGAAAAATTGACAATGCAGCTTTTCCCA